ATCAAAAAAAAAATATATATATATATATATATATATTTTTATACCTAGAGGGGTCCTAAAATTGTAACTCAAATAGCTAAATGGTCCATGGTATGACCATCTTAAAACTTAGCTTACTAGATATTGCCATCTAGGGGCTTAGACTCTATGTATTAACCTGTCCTTTCTCTGGTGTGGAGAAAGGCCAGGTTAATACATAGAGGACAGGTTAATACATTTCTCTATGTATTAACCTGTCCTATGACCTTGGCACTCGTATTAATTTTCCATTGCACATTTTTAAAAAATATTTTCCGTTGTGTGCCCTAATGAATACAACCCTGTTCCTGTGGGTTCATGTGTGGATGGTGGAAACCCTGGCAGACTGACAGCCTGGCTGGCTGGCTGGCTGACTGACTGTTATGCTGCAGTCATCCCCATACCTCACTGGGCTCCAGGCCTCTGCTATGTCAGGCTGCTCAAGCACTCCACTGTCAGAGCCAGTTTGCCCTCTGCTGGGGTGAGTGGAATCAACAATGTCAATACTATCTCAGCCTATTCCACAGATAAACAACAACCCAAATAGACACTTAAACACTGCTGTATCATGGTGCAACTGCTGTCATTGTGGTTAGCCCATCCCCAGTTCAAGCAAACCCCTTTGGCAGGCCAGGCATCTTCTGAGGAATCTGAATGCCCCAGGATAATGCCTCTGTGATGAAGTCAACTGACTCCCATCGGTTCTTTTATCCTCCCAGTGCCCAGTCAGTGCCCGGTGCCCATCACAGTGACATTAAGACTATAAATACAGATTGTCATATCCGGAGGTGCAAAGGGGCTGTGGCAGGAGGATGTGAGACTGTTGGCCTCCGTGGGGCACTGGGTTCTGAAGAGGGTCCGTCTACGTCCAAAGACCACCTCAGTTAAAGGTAGGTATCATGATGTTAGTATGTGGTGGTGAAGGTTAGAAAGAGTTGCAAAGAAAAAGCCATATCTCAGACTGCCCATCTTAATCTTTTCTTTTTATTGGCTAGTCTGAGATATGGCTTTTTCTTTGCAACTCTGCCTAGAAGGTCAGCATCCCGGAGTCGCCTCTTCACTGTTGACGTTGAGACAGGTGTTTTGCGGGTACTAATTAATTAATTAATGAAGCTGCCAGTTTAGGACCTGTGAGGCGCCTGTTTCTCAAACTAGACACTCTAATGTATTTGTCCTCTTGCTCAGTTGTGCACCGGGGCCTCCCACTCTTTCTATTCTGGTTAGAGCCAGTTTGCGCTGTTCTGTGAAGGGAGTAGTACACAGCGTTGTACGAGATCTTCAGTTTCTTGGCAATTTCTCGCATGGAATAGCCTTAATTTCTCAGAGCAATAATAGACTGACGAGTTTCAGAAGAAAGTTATTTGTTTCTGGCCATTTTGAGCCTGTAATCGAACCCACAATTGCTGATGCTCCAGATACTCAACTAGTCTCAAGAAGACCAGTTTTATTGCTTCTTTAATCAGCACAACAGTTTTCAGTGGTGCTAACATAATTGCAAAAGGGTTTTCTAATGATCAATTAGCCTTTTAAATAATAAACTTGGATTAACAAACACAACGTGCCATTGGAACACAGGACTGATGGTTGCTGATAATGGGCCTCTGTACGCCTATGTAGATATTCCATTAAAAATCAGCCGTTTCCAGCTACAATAGCCATTTACAACATGAACAATGTCTACACTGTATTTCTGATTATTTTGATGTTATTTTAATGGACAAAAAAATTGCTTTTCTTTCGAAAACAAGGACATTTCTAAGTGACCCCAAACTTTTGAACGGTAGTGTATATTTTTCTGCATATCTAAGCATAGCTATTGAGCTGTCTGTATCCTCCTGACTGGTGGTTCATTTTTTAAATAAACGAAATATGCTTTTCTGCATCTCTGTAAAAAATCTGGGTAAAAGATTCAAAGAAATGTGAGTCTTCTTCAGTATACAGTGGGGGAAAAAGTATTTAGTCAGCCACCAATTGTGCAAGTTCTCCCATTTAAAAAGATGAGAGAGGCCTGTAATTTTCATCATAGGTACACGTCAACTATGACAGACAAATTGAGAAAAAAAATCCAGAAAATCACATTGTAGGATTTTTAATGAATTTATTTGCAAATTATGGTGGAAAATAAGTATTTGGTTACCTACAAACAAGCAAGATTTCTGGCTCTCACAGACCTGTAACTTCTTCTTTAAGAGGCTCCTCTGTCCTCCACTCGTTACCTGTATTAATGGCACCTGTTTGAACTTGTTATCAGTATAAAAGACACCTGTCCACAACCTCAAACAGTCACACTCCAAACTCCACTATGGCCAAGACCAAAGAGCTGTCAATGGACACCAGAAACAAAATTGTAGACCTGCACCAGGCTGGGAAGACTGAATCTGCAATAGGTAAGCAGCTTGGTTTGAAGAAATCAACTGTGGGAGCAATTATTAGGAAATGGAAGACATACAAGACCACTGATAATCTCCCTCGATCTGGGGCTCCACGCAAGATCTCACCCCGTGGGGTCAAAATGATCACAAGAACGGTGAGCAAAAATCCCAGAACCACATGGGGGGACCTAGTGAATGACCTGCAGAGATCTGGGACCAAAGTAACAAAGCCTACCATCAGTAACACACTACGCCGCCAGGGACTCAAATCATGCAGTGCCAGACGTGTCCCCCTGCTTAAGCCAGTACATGTCCAGGCCCGTCTGAAGTTTGCTAGAGTGCATTTGGATGATCCAGAAGAGGATTGGGAGAATGTCATATGGTCAGATGAAACCAAAATAGAACTTTTTGGTAAAAACTCAACTCGTCGTGTTTGGAGGACAAAGAATGCTGAGTTGCATCCAAATAACACCATACCTACTGTGAAGCATGGGGGTGGAAACATCATGCTTTGGGGCTGTTTTTCTGCAAAGGGACCAGGACGACTGATCCGTGTAAAAGAAAGAATGAATGGGGCCATGTATCGTGAGATTTTGAGTGAACACCTCCTTCCATCAGCAAGGGCATTGAAGATGAAACGTGGCTGGGTCTTTCAGCATGACAATGATCCCAAACACACCGCCCGGGCAACGAAGGAGTGGCTTCATAAGAAGCATTTCAAGGTCCTGGAGTGGCCTAGCCAGTCTCCAGATCTCAACCCCATAGAAAATCTTTGGAGGGAGTTGAAAGTACGTGTTGCCCAGCGACAGCCCCAAAACATCACTGCTCTAGAGGAGATCTGCATGGAGGAATGGGCCAAAATACCAGCAACAGTGTGTGAAAACCTTGTGAAGACTTACAGAAAACATTTGACCAGTGTCATTGCCAACAAAGGGTATATAACAAAGTATTGAGAAACTTTTGTTATTGACCAAATACTTATTTTCCACCATAATTTGCAAATAAATTCATTAAAAATCCTACAATGTGATTTTCTGGAAAAAAAATGCTCATTTTGTCTGTCATAGTTGATGTGTACCTATGATGAAAATTACAGGCCTCTCTCATCTTTTTAAGTGGGAGAACTTGCACAATTGGTGGCTGACTAAATACTTTTTTCCCCCACTGTATTTGGTTATTGCTTGCTTTTCTAAAGGCTACCAACCTTGCCAGCAGGCATGCCAGCTATAGTTAGACAAGCTAGCTACTCTAATTTGATTGATAGCCTAAACACACCAAGACAGTCGTGAAGAGGGCACGACAAAACCTATTCCCCCTCAGGAGACTGAAAAGATTTGGCATGGGTCCTCAGATCCTCAAAAAGTTCTACAGCTGCACCATCGAGAGCATCCTGACTGGTTGCATCATCGCCTGGTATGGCAACTGCTCGGCCTCCGACCGCAAGGCACTACAGAGGGTAGTGCGTACGGCCCAGTACATCACTGGGGTCAAGCTTCCTGCCATCCAGGACCTCTATACCAGGCGGTGTCAGAGGAAGGCCCTAAAAATTGTCAAAGACTCAAGCCACCCTAGTCATAGACTGTTCTCTCTGCTACCGCACGGCAAGCGGTACCGGAGCGCCAAGTCTAGGTCCAAAAGGCTTCTCAACAGCTTCTACCCCAAAGCCATAAGACTCCTGAACAGCTAATCATGGCTACCCATGATTTTGATTTGAAATGTCTTCTTGGTAGCTAGTTATGAGGTTGGGAGATTGGGAACCTATCTGGCCTAGCTAAAGCCAACTTCATAAAATTGGAAAGTGTCTAGTGTAGTGTATTACATTGAAAAAACAACAACATATATATATTTTTATATATATATATATTTTTCAACAGTACAAATGTGAGGGGCCAGCACGTGCCCCTGTGCCCTCTATGGGCATGAGGACTCTGTTGTAGAGGGTCAGTGAGAAGCAAGAGGAGGACGGTGCCAGGATAAATACATGGTAGACACAAGGCTCATAATACATTTCAACAAATGGAAGGAAAATAGACTGAAACAGGAAGGGATTACATAGACTTGTCCAATAAGAATCAATCATATTCATTTTCTATTGCAATTCTTTTTTACAACATTTTCCATTGTGTGCCCTAATGAATACAACCCTGTTCCTGTGGGGTCATGTGGGGGTGTGGAAATCCTGGCAGACTGCAGTCCTCCCGCATCCCTCACTGGGCTCCAGGCCTCTGCTATGTCAGGCTGCTCAAGCACTCCACTGTCAGAGCCAGTTTGCCCTCTGCTGGGGTGAGTGGACAAAACAATGTCAATACTCTCTCAGTCTATTCCACAGATAAACAACAACCCAAATAGACTGCTGTAACATGATGCAACTGCTGTCATCGTGGTTAGCCTCAGCCTCAGTTCAAGCAAACCCCTTTGGCAGGCCAGGCATCTTCTGAGGAATCTGAATGCCCCAGGATAATGCCTCTGTGATGAAGTCAACTGACTCCCATCGTTGTTTTTAATCCTCCCAGTGCCATCTGTGCCCGGTGCTCATCACAGTGACATCAATACTATTAATACAGATTAAAAACATCATGTCCTGAGGTGCAAAGAGGCTGTGGGAGGAGGATGTGGGACCTGTGTGCACTGGTGGTCCGCTGGTTTCTCTCCTTCGGACTGTTGGCCTCCGTGGGGCTCTGTGTTCTGAAGAGGGTCCGTCTACGTCCAAAGACCACCTCAGTTAAAGGTAGGTATCATGATGTTAGTATGTGGTGGTGAAGGTTAGAATCTGTCTGTCTGCCTGACTGCCGGGTTTTTGAACAATGTCTATGTGTGTAGTAGAATGTAAAGTATGTGTATTTTTGAATGGGTAGGTCTATGGCTACGTATGTCTGTGCATGTGTGTGGTTAGTGTGTACCACAGGAGGCTGCTGAGGGGAGGACGGCCCATAATAATGGCTGTAAAGGAGCAAATGGAATGGCTTCAAACACATTGAAACCATGTGTTTGATATCATTCCACTGATTCCACTCCAGCCATTACCACGAGCCCGTCCTCCCCAATGAAGGTGCCACCAACCTCCTGTGATGTGTATGTGTGGTGGTTGTACAGTATATGTACATATACAGTATGTATCTCTGTACTCTACCATTTGTGTTGGGTGTCTGTGTTCTCCTGTTGGCAGGCCTTGGGATGACTAGGCAGTTTTACAGTAATGGCAGCAAGTGGTGATGGGGTAAGGGGAGGGAACTGCACTTCATATATAGCAAGCTTGTTTCCCAGTCAAGCTCAGACATCCTGTGTCTATTTAAAGATGACTATTAAATAGTCTAGGACAGACTAGTGATATGGACATGCTGATTGTACATTAAAGTATATTATACAATATGCTTGTATCAGCATATTAAAATATATTCAAGTAAACGATCTGCAAGTACTTGCGATTGTCACAAATTACTACCTTTATATTTTTAGTTGTATTTTTGTTACACGTCTCTATTTGTACTTTGATTGCTATTTAATTCTTAGCTGAATACAAAGACTGTCTTGTAATACATGAGTAAGTCCAGTTAATGGACTCCTGCACACACTGCAGTCCACAGACAGGGGTGGTCCGCCTGAGTTAATTCTCTCTTCATGCTTAGTTACTCCTCCCTCATTGCTAGTAAACACAATTGACATACAACTCAGATTAGATCTGCTTCACATTGACATTGTGTCACGGATTCCCCCGGTACTGCTGCTCATTCCGTCCACCAGTTCCAGAGGTCTATGTCACCGGCTTTCTAGGCGTCACTGATATGGATCATTACCACCAACCCTGGACTGTCATTACGCACACCTGGTTCCCATTCCCTCTGATTAGTATGTGTATATATGTGCCCTCTGTTCCCCATTGTCCAATGTCCGTTGGTCTCGTGAGTACCGTGTATTGTGCTCTTGTGATTACGGGTCTCGTCCCGTGTATTTGTTTGGAGGTTTACACCTCGCTCTTTTGTTTGGGTTACATCCCAGTGTTAAATACATACGTGTTTGTTTTGGGCTTCTTCCCCATTGTTTTTCATTACGTACCTTGTGTTGGGTGGAGTAAATAAAACCCCTAATACGTATTCCTGCGCCTGTCTTCAAATCATTATACAACATGACACATTGACTGAGCCACTGAGATCCTAACAGTGCATGAATGATCAAACAGTTAAGAACCATTCTGGAGTGTGCACACATACACTCACAAATATATACACACAAACGTATACACACACAAGGTGGAGTAATGTGTCTACTTTCTATGGTGACTTTCTATGGTAGCTAATGAGGTGGAGGGCGTGAACCACTGAGACAGACATGATAATGACACTCACAGATAGGGTGTGTGACGACATTACAAACACATACACAGTCTTCAAGAACAAAGCATTGTCTTTAAAAAACTAACTTTGAAATGGGAACAATCAGAAGAAATGCTAGGTAGAGAAGGCATCTCGGGTGAATCACGACTCAGGATAAGACACAGATGCAGACACAGGAGGCAGATAGTTCAGAATGTTTATTTTAACACAGGGGGCAGGTCAAGGGCAGGCAGAGGTTCGTAATACAGGAGAGTCAGGCAGGTACTGTCACGATCGTCGTAAGCAACGGACCAAGGCGCAGCGTGATATGCGTACATCTTTTAATAAGTACTTTACCAACACTTAACAAAACAACAAAACAAAACGAAACGTGAAGTCCTCGGTCATAAAACACAAACCTACACGGAACAAGATCCCACAAAAGACAAGTGCACAACAGGCTGCCTAAGTATGGTTCCCAATTAGAGACAACGAGCCACAGCTGTCTCTAATTGGGAACCACCCCGGCCAACATAGAAACACATAAACTAGAACAAGAACATAGAAAACGAAACATAGAACCTAACACCTAGAAACTAACACATAGAAACTAACACCCTGGCTCAACATATAAAAGTCCCCAGAGCCAGGGCGCGACAGGTACATGACGACAGGCAGGCTCAGGGTCAGGACAGGCAGGAGGGTCAGAACCGGGAAGACTAAAAACAAAAACTTGAGAAACAGGAAAAAACACGCTGGTAGGACCTGACAAGACAAGACGAACTGCCAACAGGAGACAAAGGGCTGTGAGACAGAAGTTTAATCCTAGACACATGAAAAGTGGGATGTATACGGAGGGTGCGGGGCAACAGAAGATGAACAACAGAGGGGCTAAGGATTTTAGAGATGGTGAAAGGGCCGATAAAACGGGGGGAAAGTTTACGGGACTCCACGCGGAGGGGCAGATCCTGAGTGGAAAGCCATACCCTCTGCCCGAGACAATAGCGGGTAGCAGGGGTCCGGTGGCCGGCCTCTCTTCCAGGTACGGCGACAGGGGCGGACGAACATCTGGGCAGAAGGTATGCTGACGTCTTCCTCTTGTTCAGGGAAGAGCGGGGGCTGATATCCCAAGGAACACTCGAAGGGCGAGAGACCAGTGGCTGAGCAGGGAAGGGTGTTGCGGGCGTATTCCACCCACACGAGTTGCTGGCTCCAGGTGGTGGGGTTGGTGGAGATGACAGGAACCATGGTGGGCCACCAAAAACGTTGTCGGATAAAAGCCAGAGTCCGACGGGAGCCAGGATGGCAGGTCAGTGTAGAGGAATGTGCCCATTCCAGGACCGGGGAATGGGCAGAGTTCGGGACAAACATCCGGTTAGCCGGGCCCCGTACAGACCAGGCTCTCTATACCCCAGATGAGTGCAGCCGCTAGACAGGAGGTAGGGAGGATGGTTTCGAGGTCAGACGGTGTAGCATTATTGGACCCAGGGCGGTAGGAGTTAGTAAAATTGAAACGAGTGAATAACAGGGCCCATCAAGCCTGCCTTGAGTTGAGGCGCTTAGCGGTGCGGCGATATTCCAGGTTCTTATGGTCAGTACACACTAAGACTGGATGTTCCGCCCCCTCTAACCAGTGCCTCCACTCCTCCAATAGCCTCTTGACCACGAGTAGTTCTCAATTTCCCACGTCATAGTTCCTCTTAGCAGGGTTAAGATGATGGGAAAGGAAAGCGCAGGGATGCAGCTTTTGGTCCTGGGCATAACGCTGGGACAGGACGGCCCCCACTCCGACATCCGAGGCGTCGACCTCCACCATGAACTGACGAGACCGGATGGATTAAGATGGGAACTGTAGTGAATCGATGCTTGAGGTCCGAGAACGCCCAGTCAGCTGCTGGAGACCACGTGAACGGAACCTTGGGAGAAGTGAGTGCTGAAAGGGGGGAAGCCAGGGTGCTGTAACCCCGGATGAAGCGGCGTTAGAAATTAGCCAACCCCAGGAAATGTTGCAGCTGCACTCTGGATGTGGTTTGAGGCCAATCCACCACCGCTCTCACCTTGTCAGAATCCATCGGAATATTTCCTGCAGCGATGACGTATCCTAGGAAGGAGATGGTGAAGCGATGGAACTCACAATTCTCTGCTTTAACACAAAGCTGGTTCTCCAGGAGACGCTGAAGGACCTATTGGACGTGGAGGACATGCTCTTGAGCTGAACGGGAAAAAACAAGGATGTCGTTGAGGTAGACAAACACAAACTGGTTCAACATGTCACGGAGCACATCGTTGACCAGGGCCTGGAACACTGTGGGAGTGTTGGTCAGTCCGAATGGCATCACAAGTTACTCGTAGTGCCCGCTAGCCATGTTAAAGGCTGTCTTCCATTCGTCTCCTTCCCGTATCCAAACGAGATGGTAGGCATTCCGAAGGTCCAACTTCGAGAAGATCGTCGCCCCCTGGAGAGGCTTGAAAGCCACGGAGATGAGTGGTAGAGGGTAACGGTTTTTAACCGTGATATCATTAAGGCCCCGGTAGTCGATACACAGGTGCAGGGTTTTGTCCTTCTTCACAAAGAAGAACCCTGCGCCGGCGGGAGAGGCAGATTTGGCGAATACTCCCTGCAGCAAGAGAGTCCTCAATGTACCTTTCCATAGTCTTGGTCTCCGGACCCGACAGGGAATAAAGCCTCCACCGAGGCGGTGTAAGTCCTGGGAGAAGGTTGATAGCGCAGTCGTAGGGTCGATGCGGAGGGAGAGATGTAGCGCGGGTGGCCGGGTATGGTTCCCAATCAGAGGCAGCTGTCTATCGTTGTCTCTGATTGGGGATCATACTTAGGCAGCCTTTTTCCCACCTTAGTTTGTGGGATCTTGTTTTGTATGGTTGCTTTGTAGCCTGCAGAACTTTATGTTTGTGTGTATTTTGTAGTTTTGTCTGTGTTTCATTTAATAAATTAAGATGTTCGGCTACCACGCTGCACCTTGGTCCGAGCCTTCAATCAACGAACGTGACAGGGTGAGATACTTAGTTGATTCTTCCGGTGCATAGCAACATCTGATTCAATGCATTAGTCATGGCATTAGCTAGTTAGTTAGCAATTAGGAAAAATATAATTGTATTTTTGCATGCATTTAGAATAAATTAATTGTTTTATTTCTAGCTGCTTTAATGTTTTTACCACATGTTATCAAAAGATATACAGTACATTTATGCTTCAATTGATAGGAGTTTGATATGAGGGTACCCATACACTCTCAGTACAGTACCCTCTCAAGTTAATTCTCAACGAAGATCTCCATTCTAACAAACTCACTCTAACTTCTGTTGTCCCCCAAACCACTCTTATCCATGCTATGTTGTTGATAGGCTCGGCGTAGCCTTGGAAAGCCTCTTCTGTGATTGCTGCCGACCAAGCGTATTTATTTGTATGAAGGCACAGGCTGTGACGGTGGTTAGTTTTATAATTAGTTTAGAGTGAAGAGAGGTGTGTGTGTGTGTGTGTGTGTGCGCACACAAGTGTATGTGCACGTGATAGGGTGTGTGTGCTCTCATCATGCGCATGCATCAGATTCCTGCCAAGCAGAGGGGTGGATAAACTGCGTCCCTCCTGTCCCATCCAGTCACTTTCCCAGTCAGGCAAGCAGAGAGAGTGAGAGGAGAGAAAGAGGTGAGAGGAGAGAGAGAGACATTCTACTGCACTATACCACACACTATAACAGCAGGGCTACCAGGATCAAGGCTAATTGTGCTCTGCTTTCTTTTCCTTCCTTCCCTTCTCTGGTCACAGGCAGTTCTAGGACCATGGCACACCATAAAGACCCCAGCAAGATGGGCATTGGCCGCTCCATCGCCGTGCTGACCTCCGGAGGCGATGCCCAGGGTGAGTGGGGCTGGGTGGACCAGGGCAGGGGGGTGCCAGAGGACTGTTCGGGGGAAGCACCAGTTTCAGGGGCAGACAGTCCGAGGGAGGATAGACAGCCCAGAGGCTTGTTGGTAATCAGCAGGTGGCTGAGCAGGGGCCAGAGTTAAATCGGTCCATGTGAACAGTTCCCATGTGGGGGCAGCAAACAATGAGATATTACTTTAAGTCAACAATTCCCATAATTCCCATTCATGCTCAGAGCTCTGAGGCTGTCAATGAATTTGGAATAGGGAAACAGTGGAGTATAGGGAGGTAAAGTAAAAAGTGATTTGTAAACATAATTTGTGTTGTCTGAAGTCATAGCTGGACTTCAAGGGTGATGCATAGACTGACTGTACTACAGAAATGCATAGATTTATGTTGAAAGTCAGATGAGTCACAGCACATATACTGTACCATAGCTCAACTAATAGAAAACATGCCTCTTATTTGTGTGGTTTGAAATTCAACTGTGTTGACGTTTTGTTTTCAGTCACAGTTCCAGTTATACAGTTTGCCACACCCACTACCACGGCCAAATAAACTGTAATGATTGTGGAGTTCTGACATTAAAAGTTAATATCATAATGTTATATGATATGTTATCACGTCTTATATGGCACGTTAGCTTCACATAGAGACCTCCTCTCGGTTGTCACTGAGATATCTTATCACATGGAAAGGGCAACGTGATGTCTTCCATCCAAGGAGGTTGCCAGGGTCAGTGGAGCATTCGCAGTGGGTGCGTCCCAATAATCTCTCCTTCCTTCTGAAGTGTGCACTCTTTCACTACTCCCCCAAAATTTGAAATAATTGGATTGGTGTACGCATGGATAGAGGGAGTTTCTGTATACCAGTCATTTCGTTTCAAATCGATGAAGTGAACAAGCGCACACTTCTGGAGAAAGGAAAGATTATTGGGACGCACCCAGCAGTCTTCCCCCTGACCTTTAGCTGGATGATGAATACCTCCCCTTTGACCTTTTGGGATGTCTGCCACTGACCCCACATGACCTTCTGATTGGAGCCTGTGTCAGGGAGCTGTCTGCCTGTCTGAACTTTACATCATTATGCCAACTGAGTGGCTCTAGTCGGCTAGCTGTTTGTCAGGGTTCTCTCTCTGTTCTCGCTTTTATTTCATGTTTTTTCTTTGTCTTATTCTCTACATACACCCTAGCTACTATATTCACCCATATCTTTACCTTTCCCTCTATTTACCTCTCTTTCCCTCCTGCTGTCTCTCTTTCCCTCTCATTCCTTCTCTATCTCTGTATTTTTTGAAGGGGTGCTAATTTTAGAGACGTGACCTTTGTCATATGACATGGAGAGGTGGAGGAGGAGGAGGAGAGATGTGGGCCGCCCTATCCCTCCCTCTTATCCCTCCTCTCTCCCTCTTCCACCTAAACCTTTTTCTCCCTCCATCATGTTGAAAGGGGAGACACTCTTGGCACCTCAACAGACACACTATCCACATGTGTTGCTCTATAGAGTGGAGCTGGTGTGTTGAGACAGTGAGCTGGTTACATTTCCAGTCCTGACTGCCATACCTCTGTCGTCCCTGTCTGCCCTACCTTCCCTGTCGGCCCTGTCTGCCCTGCCAGTTCCCTGCCAGTTCACTGACACAGACACACAGGCTGTTGCAACTACATGCCCAGGAGAGCTTGAAAGTGCATTGTCATCCCAACTGTGTGGATGTGAGAGGAGAGCTCTTCAGTATTCCACTATGCTTTGCTATGGTTCCCCATCAGCCATACATCCTAACCATGTGAACTCACATGTTACATAATGGTACATAATGGTAATGATTATTATGATCTGGTATATGTACACATTATAATTTTTCCGTTCAGCAAAATCACTAAAATGAGACAAAAACAGCTGCATTGGACTTTTAACAGATTCATTATCTCAATATCAAAGAATTTCTGGGTAACAATTAAGTACCTTACTGTGATTGTTTTCTTTTTTTTTTTACACAATTTGCTTCCTAGCAAAGGGCAATTTCTCAAGCAAGAATTTTGCATATGTCAAGTTTGTAGCACACAGCATGCCAACTTAATCATAGCAGCTACACTGTGTTGTGGGTTGTAGTTCAAAACTACCCGTGCAGGTGGGACTGTGTCAGTGATGTTCTAACAACCACTGCAGGTATGAATGCTGCTGTGAGGGCCGCAGTCAGAGTGGGCATCTACACTGGGGCCAAGGTCTACTTCGTTCATGAGGTTAGTACCTGACTTGTATCCCCCATCTCATCTAACATTTTATGTTACCCATCCTCTATTAGTCTATAACTGTTACTATTCCCTTTTTCTGATTATTATAGTCTACAGCAGTTGTCACCAACCGGTCGATCGCAATCGACTGGTCGATCTTCAAGGAATTCCTAGTCGATCACCAAACATTTCTGTAGAAAAGCCAAGAATATAAAGGCTTGTGCTGCTTTTTTTATTTATTTGTGTTGCGCTGTTGGCGGTAGGTGCACTTGATTCAGAAGCCCTGCACACCGGATAGGCAAAGTGTTCCCATTTTGAACTATTTCATTTAAACTCCGCCTACCCGGCAGACCGAGAGATCTGTGGCTAAATTAGTGTGCTTACTGTGCTGTCCAATCGGATAGCTCAAATTACAGTGCCTACAGCTTCCACAACCCAGTCCACAGCAAAGTTTGATACTAGCCTACATTACATTTAATAACTTTTAAAACCATGACCAAAGAGAAACTGTAAAAGAATACAGCAAAGAGCTGCTGTTTTTATGAGTGAATGAATGTCAAAGTTTTTACTCAGCACTGTCAACACTGTTTTTATTCAACACTATTAAAAACATAAAATGAGCTTCTCCCTACTTCCACTGGCGCTGCAATGAATGAGTAGCCAAGTGTATCGATAGCCCTGCATTTGTATGATTATTAGCAGCTCATCGTGTCTATTTTAATATCGAGAAATATTTTACTTTCTCTGGTCATAGGAACAACATGAATTTGTGCATGAGGCAGATGAGGTGAGACTCCAGTTTTTCCATCAAGTGGAAAACTGTGTCCCCTCTCTCCAGCCTGGTCTCATAGACTAGATGTAACACAGTAAATGTAATTCTGGGATATTCAAATCAGTATGATATGTTATGTTTGGTATGGTTACTGAAGTCAAAAACGAAAGTAGGGTGGATGGGTAGGCGTATAATGCGAACGTCTAGCAACCCAAAGGTTGCGAGTTTGACTCTCATCAGACAACTTTAGCATTTTGGCTAATTAGCAACTTTTCAACTACTTTTGAGCTACTTTGCAACTACTTAGCTAAGCCTTCCCCTAACCCCATCCTTAACCATTTAACCTAACTCATAAACCTAACCCTAGCCTAGCTAATGTTAGCCAGCTAGCTAACATTAGCCACCTAGCTAGAATTTGTAACATCTCATATGTTTAGCAAATTTGTAACATATTGTACGTTTTGCAAATTCATGACATATAATTTGAATTGTAATTCATAACATATCGTGCGAAATGGGTGATGGACACCACAAATGAATACATACCATACGAAACCTAACATATCATACCAAATGGAGTATCTCGGATTTACGTATAGAATAATACGAAATCCCTGATTAGAGGGGATAGGATGTAAACCAACAGTGCTACGGACAGCAATGCCTGGATTGAGAAAGCTGATCTGGAATGAGCCTCTTACATTCCCTTTTCCTTGCCTGTTACCTTATCATTCAGCTAAGCCACCTCAGTTACCTTGGGTTTCACCTTAGATCCTCCCGTAACTGTGAGTGACAGGTTTGTGTGTTCGTCTTCAGGGTTACCAGGGTCTGGTGGATGGAGGTGACAATATCAAACCTGCCACATGGGAGAGCGTGTCTATGATGCTGCAGCTGGTGAGCACACATACAGTATACACACACACACACACTTTATCCAATTACCTCCCCCCTCACACTGTCTTGAGCTCTCCTGTAGTTTCTGACCAAATGTAACCTTTCAGTGAAAGGGGTGGGATCCATCCTCTGTAACATGAACTGGTCCTAGATCAGTGACTCTCTGGTCAGTAGGAGCTAGTTAAATGCCAGGGTTCACTGGATTTAATGGGCTTCAGAATGATAGGCTGGGGTTTCACCTCCCTCCTCTTCCCTTCCTTCTTCCCTCCCCCTTGGTCTCTCTCCTCACTCACACACACACACACACACACACACACTATTCCTGAACCACATTCTCTCTCATCCCCCTCTGCCTATAACCCACAACCTGTCCTTCTCTACTTCTTCCTCCATCTCTCCCTCTTTTTTAGCCCAACTGAATGTGTTCTTTTGGCAGAATGTGTGGGTTCTGTTTGTGTCATCCAACTGATCCCACCTCTCCCTCTTGTCTCGTCTCAGGGTGGCACTGTGATTGGCAGTGCCCGCTGTATGGACTTCAAAGAGAAGTGGGGGCGTCTGAAGGCTGCCTGCAACTTGGTCAAACTGGGCATCACCAACCTGTGTGTGATTGGTGGTGACGGTAGCTTGACTGGTGCCAACCAGTTCCGTACAGAGTGGAGAGAGCTGCTGGCTGACCTGACCAAACAGGGTGAGATACCTGGGCCACCAACAAGACTACATTACCCAGCACCCTTCACTCCAAACCACCCCACTACCATAAAACATAATGTGACCCACTACACTTTTTGTATTCCACCCAGTCACTTTTTAGATTATCCTAAGAGGGGGGATTAGGTCATCATTCATTATGATCTTAAAACAAAAACTGATCCTAGATCAGCACCACTACTCCAAGACAATTTGTGAATACGGGCCCAAGCATCTGTATGGTCTTTGAAATATGTGGCTCCTTATACTGTACTTTAATGTCTCCTTGTGGACCCAAGTCATATATGCAAAGTCATTTATCCAAAGCGACTTAGAATAGTGCTTGCATACAGTTTGATATGTGTGGCACCAGCGGGAATTGAGCCCAAGACCCCAGCGTTGCAAGGGCCATGCTCTATCAACTGAGCCACATAGGACTACGAGTAATGTATTAAATGTGTGAGTTGACTGCTAGTTTGTGTGTCCACCACCAGGTAAGATCACAGCGGAGGAGGCTAGGCGTTCTTCTCACCTCAATATCGTGGGCATGGTGGGCTCTATAGACAACGACTTCTGTGGCACTGACATGACCATCGGCACTGACTCCGCCCTGCACCGCATCATAGAGGTGGTGGATGCCATAACAACTACTGCACAGAGGTACACACACACCGATATTAAGTCATTTGTAAGCATCAGTAAATCATAAGGATTTTGTGATTCTGAGTTTTTCACATATTTCTGTTGACAGTCACCAGAGGACCTTTATCCTGGAGGTGATGGGCAGACACTGCGGGTGAGTGCCTGACTGTGTGTGTCAAATCAAATGAAATTTCTTGGTCACATACACATGTTTAGCAATGTTATTGCGGGTGTAGCAAAAATGCTTGTGTTTCTAGCTCCGACAGTGCAGTATATCTAACGAGTAATATCTAACAATTTCACAACATATACCCAATACACACAATTCTAAGTAAAGCAATGGAATTAAGAATGTATAAATAAATATATGGACGAGCAATGTCAGAGCGGCATAGACTAAGATACAGTATAATATTATAGAATACAGTATATGCATATGAGATGAGTAATGCAATATATGTAAACATTATTAAAGTGACTAGTGTTCCATTTCTTAAAGTGGCCAGTGATTTCTAATCTATGTATATAGGCAGCAGCCTCTAATGTGCTAGTGAAGGCTATTTAACAGTCTGATGGCCTTGAGATAGAAGCTGTTTTTCAGTCTCTCGGTCCCAGCTTTGATGCACCTGTACTGACCTCGCCTTCTGGATGATAGCAGGGTGAACAGGCAGTGGCTCGGGTGGTTGTTGTCCTTGATGATCTTTTTGGCATTCCTGTGACATCGGGTGCTGTAGGTGTCCTGGAGGGCTGGTAGTTTGTCCCCGGTGATGCGTTGGGCAGACCGCACCATCCTCTGGAGAGCCCTGCGGTTGCGGGCAGTGCAGTTGCCGTACCAGGCGGTGATACAGCCCGACAGGATGCTCTCAATTGTGCATCTGTAAAAGTTTGTGAGGGTTTTAGGTGCCAAGCCAAATTTCTTCAGCCTCCTGAGATTGAAGAGGCACTGTTGCGCCTTCTTCACCACACTGTCTGTGTGGGTGGACCATTTCAGTTTGTCAGTGACGTGTACGCCGAGGAACTTTAAGCTTTCCACCTTCTCCACTGCGGTCCCGTCAATGTGGATAGGGGGGTCCTCCCTCTGCTGTTTCCTGAAGTCCACGATCATTTGTTTTGTTGACGTTGAGTGAGAGGTTATTTTCCTGGCACCACACTCCCAGAGCCCTCACCTCCTCCCTGTAGGCTGTCTCGTCATTGTTGGTAATCAAGCCTACTACTGTTGTGTCGTCTGCAAACTTGACGCTTGAGTTGGAAGCGTGCTTGGCCACGCAGTCATGGGTGAACAGGGAGTACAGGAGGGGGCAACCTTGTGGAGCCCCAGTGTTGAGGATCAGCGAAGTGGAGGTGTTGTTTCCTACCTTCACCACCTGGGGGCGGCCCGTCAGGAAGTCCAGGACCCAGTTGCACAGGGTGGGGTTCAGATCCAGGGCTTCAAGCTTAATGATGCGCTTGGAGGGTACTATGGTGTTGAATGCTGAGCTATAGTCAATGAACAGTATTCTTACATATGGATTCCTCTTGTCCAGATGGGATAGGGCAGTGTGATGTTGATTGCATCGTCTGTGGATCTATTGGGGCGGTAAGCAAATGGATGTGGGTCTAGCGTGGCAGGTAAGGTAGAGGTGATATGATCCTTGACTAGTCTCTCAAAGCACTTCATGATGACAGAAGTGAGTGCTATGGGGCGATAGTCATTTAGTTCAGTTACCTTTGCTTTCTTGGGTACAGGGACAATGGTGGCCATCTTGAAGCATGTGGGGACAGCAGCATTGGTGTAAAAATAGTTTAAAGTACTACTTAAGTAGTTTTTTTTAGGTATCTGTACTTGCCTATTTATATTTTGGACTACTTTTGGACACCCAAAAGTACTCGTTACATTTTATAATAATAATATGCCATTTAGCAGACGCTTTTATTCAAAGCGACTTACAGTCATGCGTGCATACATTTTTGTGTATGGGTGGTCCCGGGGATCGAACCCACTACCTTGGCGTTACAAGCGCCGTGCTCTACCAGCTGAGCTACAGAGGACTACGATTTTCCATGCTTAGAAGGTCAGGAAAATGGTCCAATTCACTCACTTATCAAGAGAACATTCCTACTGCCTCTGATCTGGAAGACTCACTAAACACAAATGCTTTGTTTGTAAATTATGTCTGTGTTGTAATGTGCCCCTGGCTATCTGTAAATGAAAAAAAAACAAGAAAATTGTGCAGTCCGATTTGCTTATTATAAACAATTCGAAATTACTTTTGATACTTAAGTATATTTAAAACCAAATACTTTTTGACTTTTACTCAAGTAGTATTTTTCTGGGTGACTTTTACTTGAGTCATTTTCTATGAAGGTATCTTTACTTTTACTCAAGTATGACAATTGGGTACTTTTTCCACCACTGGACAGCATACTGGGATAGGGAGAGATTGAATATGTCCGTAAACACACCAGGCAGCTGGTTTGTGCATGCTCTGAGGACGCGGCTAGGGATGCCATCTGGGCCGGCAGCCTTGCGATGGTTAACACGCTTAAATGTCTTACTCACGTCGGCCACAGAGAAAGAGAGCCCACAGTCCTTGGTAGCGGGCCACGTTGGTGGCACTATATTATCCTCAAAGAGGGCGAAGAAGGTGTTTAGCTTGTCCGGAAGCAAGACGTCGGTGTCCGCGGCGTGGCTGGTTTTCCTTTTATAGTCCGTGATTGTCTGTAGACCCTGCCACATACGTCTCGTGTCTGAGCCGTTGAATTGTGACTCCACTTTGTCCCTATACTGACGTTTTGCTTGTTTGATTGCCTTGCGGAGGGAATAACTACACTGTTTGTATTCTGCCATATTCCCAGTCACCTTGCCATGGTTAAATGCGGTGGTTCGCGCTTTCAGTTTTGCGCAAATGCTGCCATCTATCCACGGTTTCTGGTTAGGGTAGGTTTTAATAATCACAATGGGTACAACATCTCCTATACACTTCCTGAAACTCAGTCACCATATCAGAATATACGTCAATATTATTTTCTGAAGCTACCCGGAACGTATCCCAGTCCGCGTGATCAAAACCATCTTGAAGCGTTGATTCCGATTGGTTAGACTAGTGTTGAATAGTCCTTAGCACAGGTACTTCCTGTTTGAATTTCTGCCTATAGGAAGGGAGGAGCAAAATGGAGTCGTGGTCAGATTTGCCGAAAGGAGGGCGGGGGAGGGCCTTGTATGCATCCCGGAAGTTGGAGTAGCAGTGGGCGAGTGTTTTAGCAGCACAAGAACTACAATCAATGTGTTGATAGAACTTCAGTAGCCTTTTCCTCAAATTTGCTTTGTTAAAATCCCAAGCTACAATAAATGCAGCCTAGGATATGTGGTGTCCAGTTTGCATAAAGTCCAGTGGAGTTCTTTGAGGGCCGTCGTGGTATCGGCTTGAGGGGGGATATCTATAACCGAATAAAATTATCTTGGGAGATAATACTGCCGGCATTTGATAGAGGTATTCTAGGTCCTTCTGCTTCCCGGATAGATATTTATTCATGTCTGCGCACGTTTGTCTGTGTATGCTTGTGTATGTGTTAACATTGCTCTCTGTTCCTACAGCTACCTGGCCCTGGTGACTGCTCTGGCCTGCGGTGCTGACTGGGTGTTCATCCCAGAGATGCCCCCAGAGGAAAACTGGGAGGAACATCTGTGCAAAAGACTGATTGCGGTACCACACCTCCTCTCCTCCTCCCTCTATCCCTTCTCCACCTCTTCTGATTGAGCCTCTCTTTATTTCTTTGTCCCTCTCCCTGGTTTTCTCTCTCTTCCTCATATAGTAACACACAAAACAAAGTTCTCTCTCCGTCTCTCTCTCAGCAAAGGGAGCGTGGTTCTCGTCTGAACGTCATCATCATGGCAGAGGGAGCCCAGGACCGTAACCAGAAACCCATCACCTGTGACCAAGTCAAAAATGTGAGCGATGGCATCACACAGTCAATAGAAGTTGTCCCTAACCACGTAAACAGGCGGTGTCCCAAATGGCACCCTATTCCCCCAGCCACAGAGTCCGATATGTTTCATCCCCCTAATGGTTAAGGTTATAAGGGGCTAGGGTAATATGACCTTAAATCTATCGTCTAGCTTTGATCTGACAGAGGACTGATGCTGTAATCTCTCTGTCACTCTGTACAGCTGGTATCCAAGAAACTTTGCTTCGACACCCGTTCCACCATCCTGGGACACGTACAGAGAGGTGGCACCCCCTCTGCTTTCGATAGGATCCTGGTAATCCATCTCTGTCACCACTTTGTGTCTGTCAATCTGTCTGTCTGTCTTGTTTTCACTCTGTTGGCTACTCTTTCTTGACCTTCAGGGTCATTACATATCACCTATAATGTTCCTGCTATGATAATCGATCCTTCATTCATTCCTTCTCTCCCTTCGTCCCCCAGGGTAGCAGGATGGGTGTGGAGGCTGTGATGGCTCTGTTGGAGGCCACCCCAGAAACCCCAGCCTGTGTTGTCAGTCTTTCTGGGAACATGGCCATCAGGCTGCCTCTCATGGAGTGTGTCCAAGTTGTGAGCTATATACCTATGCCACATCAAACTGCATTATTTCCTCTCTTACTGCTGAGAAAGCATATTATCGACATTGTCGTTTAAAATGTCTTCTTCTCTCTATTATCCCCCCTCTCTCAGACTAAAGATGTGACCGTAGCCATGGCTGAGGGGAGATTTGAAGATGCTGTGAAGCTCAGGGGAAAGTGAGCCTTTTATTTTGCCTCTTTTATTCCTTCTTCATTTGGACTTTTATTATAGTGAGATGAAAACCATTGGTCATTTTCTTGTCAATGTCTGTAGGAGCTTTCAGAATAACTGGAACACATACAAAATGCTGGCTCACGTGAACCCCCCAGAAGTGAAGGTGAGTAACTGCATAATTTTCATCAGTTTCTTTTTCTTGCTATCTTGGTCTGGTATTTGGGCAACCTGGTTGCACATTTGAAGGCATTATAGGGTTGCACCAAAATACATCCTCTCTCTGTCTTGTTCTCCCCCTCTCAGAGCAACATCAATATTGCCATTGTAAATGTGGGCGCCCCCTGTGCTGGAATGAATGCAGCAGTGCGTGCAGCTGTCAGGGTCGGTCTCATCCAGGGACACCAGATGCTGGCTATACATGACGGCTTTGACGGCCTGGCTAACGGACAGGTGGGCCATTCCACCAGGAAAGATGTCCCTGAGGATTTCCTGTAGTGGACAACTTGTGTGTAATTTTACATGTGATCAGATGAATGACATCATCAGGAACATCAGTTCATTGCCAAGTTGAGCTCCACCTGCAAAGCTCAACACAAATAACACACACACACACACACACCATACTCATCTCTTGTTCCTCTTCCCCAGATTGAGCCTATCACTTGGGCTCAAGTGGGTGGATGGACTGGGAAGGGAGGGTCCAATCTCGGTACCAAGAGGTGAGACATCTCCACAGAGCACACACACCAATGCTTAGGGCCAGGGAAAGTTCAAAGTCGTGTGTTTAGGAGGAACCCAGGGCACTACTTAGAAGAACATAAACCTCTATTGACATTTACCTCTCTGTTTCTCCTCTCTGGTGTGTAGACACCTGCCAGGTAAAAACATTGAGCAAATCAGCCTGAACATTGCCAAGTTCAACATCCATTCTCTGATCATCATCGGAGGCTTTGAGGTGAGGCTCGAGGGGGAGGATTAGAGTGTTCGGATGGTTCACTGGTCCACTGTCAAAATCATTATTGATTGAACATATTCATTGAACATAAGCACTACAGTTGAAAAACAATGAGTCTCATGAATATTGTCATGTCTGTTGATGCCTATTCCAGATATACACTACCAGTCAAAAGTTTGGAAACACATTCAAGGGTTTTTCTTTATTCTTTCTATTTTTTTTACATTGTAGAATAATAGTGAAGACATCAAAACTATGAAATAACACATATGGAATCATGTAGTAACCAAAAAAGTGTTAAACAAATCAAAATATATTTTACATTTCAGATTCTTCAAATAGCTACCCTTTGCCTTGATGACAGCTTTTGCACACTCTTGGCATTCTCTCAACCAGCTTCATGAGGTAGTCACCTGGAATGCATTTCAATTAACAGGTGTGCCGCCTTAAAAGTTAATTTGTGGAATTTCTTTCCTTCTAAATGCGTTTGCGCCAATCAGTTGTGTTGTGACAAGGTATGGGGGGGGGGGGGGGGGTAATGGCAGGGTTATGGCAAGAACAGCTCAAATAAGCAAAGAGAAACGTCAGTCCATCATTACTTTAAGACATGAAGGTCAGTCAATACAGAACATTTCAAAAACTTTGAACGTTTCTTCAAGTGCAGTTGCAAAAACCATCAAGCGCTATGATGAAACTGGCTCTCATGAGGACCACCACAGGAATGGAGGACACATCTCAACATCAACTGTTCAGAGGGGACTGTGTGAATCAGGCCTTCATGGGCGAACTGCTGCAAAGAAACCACTACTAAAGGACACCAATAACAAGAAGAGACCTGCTTGGGCCAAGAAACACGAGCAATGGACATTAGACTGGTGGGAAGTGTCCTGTGTGAATTTAAGTATGCTCTCTCTAATTCTCTCGTTCTCTCTTTCTCTCTGAGAACCTGAGCCCTAGGACCATACGTCAGGACTACCGGGCATGATGACACCCTGCTGCCCCCAGTCCGCCTGGCCTTGCTGCTATTCCAGTTTCAACTGTTCTGCCTGCGGCTACGAAACCCCTACCTGTCCCAGACCTGCTGTTTTCAACTCTAAATGATCGGCTATGAAAAGCCAACTGAGAGACCTGAGCCCTAGGACCATACGTCGGGACTACCGGCCGTGGTGACTCCTTGCTATCCCCAGTCCGCCTGGCCTTGCTGCTATTCCAGTTTAAACTGTTCTGCCTGCGGTTATGGAACCCCTACCTGTCCCAGACCTGCTGTTTTAAACTCTAATGATCGGCTATGAAAAGCCAACTGAGATTTATTCCTGATTATTATTTGACCATGCTTGTCACTTATGAACATTTTTGAACATCTTGGCATGGTTCTGTTATAATCTCCACCCGGCACAGCCAGAAGAGGACTGGCCACCCCTCATAGCCTGGTTCCTCTCTAGGTTTCTTCCTAGGTTTTGCCTTTCTAGGGAGTTTTTCCTAGCCACCGTGCTTCTACACCTGCATTACTAGCTGTTTGGGGTTTTAGGCTGGGTTTCTGTACAGCACTTCGAGATATTAGCTGATGTAAGAAGGGCTATATAAAATAAAATTGATTGATTGATTGATTGAATTTGTCCTTTGGTCTGGAGTCCAAATTGGAGATTTTTGGTTCCAAGCGCCGTGTCTTTGTGAGACGCGTTGTGGGTGAACGGATGATCTCCGCATGTGTAGTTCCCACTGTAAAGCATGGAGGAGGAGGTGTTATGGTGTGGGGGTGCTTTGCTGGTGACACTGTCAAGGCACACTTAACCAGCATGTCTACCACAGCATTCTGCAGTGATACGCCATCACATCTGGTTTGGGCTTAGTGGGACTATGATTTGTTTTTCAACAGGACAATGACCCAACACACCTCCAGGCTGTGTAAGGGTTATTTTTACCAAGAAGCAGAGTGATGGAGTGCTGCATCAGATGACCTGGCCTCCACAATCCCCTGACCTCAACCCAATTGAGATGCTTAGCATATGTGGGAACTCTTTCAAGACTGTTGGAAAAGCATTCCAAGTGAAGCTGGTTGAGAGAATGCCAAGAGTGTGCAAAGCTGTCACCAAGGCAAAGGGTGGCTATTTGAAGAATCTCAAATATAACATATATTTTGATTTGTTTAACACTTTTTTGGTTACTACGTGATTCCATATGTGTTATTTCATAGTTTTGATGTCTTCACTATTATTCTAAATAGTAAAGAAAAACCCTTGAATGAGTAGGTGTGTCCAAACTTTTGACTGGTACTGTGCATGGTATTGTGTGTCTCCCTGTCAGGCCTATCTGGGTGGTCTGGAGCTGGTGACAGCCAGGGAGAAGTACGAGGAGCTGTGTATCCCCATGGTGGTCATTCCCGCCACCGTCTCCAACAATGTTCCCGGATCAGACTTCAGCATCGGCGCTGACACCGCCCTCAACACCATCACCATGGTAAGACACACACACACACACGCTGTACCCCAGACACACACACACACACACTTTAAATACTTTATTTGAATCCACAAATTGCATTACAGTCGAGAAGGATTCAAACATTTCAAAGGACATGGTCATCTGGATGGATATAGAAAGCACCTTCTCCATTCAGCAAGGCTTTCCATGACACCTGACACAGAGCAGTACTTTGTTAGCTGCTTTGCCTTTGTCCTATGCGGGCCTGCATTCTGTCAGCCTGTGTATATGGCTGAGACTCCCAAATATCAGCGCCACAAGTTTGCACTGATAACTAAGGCTGTTCAGGCGTGACACGAGGAAATGGTATTTCAGCAACTTAGCAACAAATGGTCTGCTCCATATAGGAGTCAAAAGAGCAACCCACTTCCAAAATATGTACCTCCCTCCGGCCTTCCCCACAACAACAATATCTGGCATATTTGGGATACAAGAAAACACATTATCAAACCAGCCTCCTCTGACAAGAGAATGTTTGTGAATGTGTGCGGGACACACACACTTTGACCTTTTAGTCATTTAGCAGACGCTCTTATCCAGAGCAATTAGGGTTCAGTGCCTTGCTCAAGGACACATCAACAGATTATTTACCTAGTTGCACAGGGATTCGAACTAGTAACCTTTTTGTTACTGGCCCAACACTCTTAACTGCTATGCTAACCGCTAGGCTACCTGCCTAACATATGACAATACCCAGACACACATCCCTCCTCATATTTACCTTTCTTTCTTTCTGTCAGACTTGCGACAGGATCAAGCAGTCTGCTGCTGGCACCAAGAGGAGAGTGTTCATCATTGAGACCATGGGGGGATACTGCGGCTACCTGGCAACCATGGCTGGCTTGTCATCTGGGGCTGACGCTGCCTACATTTATGAAGAGCCTTTCCATATCCGCGACCTTGAGGTCAGGGGGCACACTGGCAGAATAACAAAGATGGATGGATTCTGTGTTATATTTCAAACACAAAACATGGGGACATTGGGTTGTTGAATCATCTATTGTATTGTTTTGTTGCAGCTGAACGTGGAGCATCTGATAGAAAAGATGAAGACCTCAGTGAAGAGAGGTCTCATTCTCAGGTAGGTGTGCTCTCCTCAAAAACACATCCTTATCTGATATCCCTCAGACATTATCGTTCTCTTGTTTCTCTTGTTACTACAACTAACGAATGATGGATTGTCCTATAATAATACCGCCATCCTCCTCCTGCCGACAGGAACGCTAATGCCAACGACAACTACACCACACAGTTCCTCTACAACCTGTACTCAGAGGAGGGCAAGGGCACGTTCGACTGCAGGATGAACATCCTGGGACACATGCAGCAGGTCTGATGGACGCTTCTTCTAACTGTTTAATGGGCTCAACTCTAAATCTGTTGTAATATAAGGAATCAATTTATGTATATATTCATCTGGAAATACATCTCTCTTTCTCTTTGTCTCACCACCAGGGTGGAACCCCCTCTCCCTTCGACAGGAATTTTGGCACCAAGATGGGATCCAAGTCTGTCCTGTGGCTGACTGACAAGCTGAAGGAGTGCTACAGACACGGTGAGGATCATTTGGTATTTTATTAGGATCCCCATTAGCTGTTGCAAAAGCAGCAGCTACTCTTCCTGGGGTCCACACAAAACATGAAACATTACATAATACAGAACATTAATAGTCAAGAACAACTCAAGGACAGAACTACATCAATTAAAAAAGAAAGAAAGGCACACAGCCTACATATCAATACCAATACATACACACAAACTATCTAGGTCAAATAGGGGAGAGGCGTTGTGCCATGAGGTGTTACTTTATATATTTTTTTGAAAGCAGGTTTGCTGTTCATTTGAGCAATATGAGATGGAACGGAGTTCTATGCAATAATGGCTCTATATAATACTGTACTCTTTCTTGAGTTTGTTCTGGATTTGGGGACTGTGAAAAGACCCCTGGTCGCATGTCTGATGGGGTAAGTGTGTGTCAGAGCTGTGCGTAAGTTGACTGTGCAAACAATTTGGGATTTTCAACACATTAATGTTTCTTATAAAAAGAAGTGATGCAGTCAGTCTCTCCTCAACTCTTAGCCAAGAGAGACTGGCATGCATAGTATTTATATCAGCCCTCTGATTACAATGAAAAGCAAGACGTGCCGCTCTGTTCTGGGCCAGCTGCAGCTTTACTAGGTATTTCCTTGCAGCACTCGACCACACAACTGGACAATAATCAAGATAAGTCAAAACTAGAGCCTGCAGGACTTGCTTTTTGGAATGTGGTGTCAAAAAAGCAGAGCATCTCTTTATTACAGACAGACCTCTCCCCATCTTTACAACCATTGAATCTATATGTTTGACCATGACAGTTTACAATCTAAGGTAACGCCAAGTAATTTAGTCTCCTCAACTTGTTCAACAGCCACACCATTCATAACCAGATTCAGCTGAGGTCTAGAACTTACGGAATGCTTTGTACCAAATACAATGCTCTTAGTTTTAGAGATGTTCAGGACCAGTTTATTACTGGCCACCCATTCCAAAACAGACTGCAACTCTTTGTCTCTTTGTTAAGAGTTTCAGTGACTTCATTAGCTGTGGTTGCTGATGCGTATATGGTTGAATCATCAGCATACATGGACACACATTCTTTGTTTAATGGCAGTGGCAGGTCATTGGTAATAATAGAAAAGAGAACAGAGGGCCTAGAGAGCTGCCCTGCGGTACACCACACTTTACATGTTTGACATTAGAGAAGCTTCCATTAATCTCTACGGGATCGGTGTCCCGTATACGGGACGGTTGAGCTAACGTGCGCTAATGTGATTAGCATGACTGTTGTAAGTAACAGCAAACTTTCCAGGACATAAACATGTCTTAAATGGGCAGAAAACTTAAATTCTTGTTAATCTAACTGCACTGTCCAATTTACAGTAGCTATTGCAGTGAAAAGATACCATGCTATTGTTTGAGGAGAGTGCACAACAACAGAAAAACGTATCACGGCAAGTGGTTTGATACATTCACCTCTGAAGGTACATAATGTACTTACCTTCAGTAATCTTGCTCTGATTTGTCATCCTAAGGGTCCCAGAGATAAAATGTAGCATAGTTTTGTTTGATAAAATCAATTTTTATATTCAAATGTAGGAACTGGGTTCTACAGTTTGAACCCCTGCTGTCTCTGGCTCTGTATTATCTTTTACCAGATCTAATGTGTTATATTCTCCTACATTAATTTCACATTTCCACAAACTTCAAAGTGTTTCCTTTCAAATGGTATCAAGAATATGCATATCCTTGCTTCAGGTCCTGAGCTACAGACAGTTAGATTTGGGTATGTCATTTTAGGCGAAAATTGAAAGAAAGGGTCAGATCCTTGAGGTTAAAGAAAACCCTTTCAGTTCTATTATATAGATAGCTCTGAATCCACAATATGGCAGAGGTTGAAAAGCCATAACACATCCACTACCATTCAAACTAAGCTTTGTGAATGTTGACCTGTTTAAAGGTCTTACTCACATCGGCTACGGAGAGCGCGATCACACAGTCGTCCAGAACAGCTGATGCTCTCGTGCATGCTTCAATGTTGCTTGCCTCGAAGCGAGCATAGAAGTAATTTAGCTCGTCTGGTAGGCTCTTATCACTGGGCAGCTCGCGGCTGCGCTTCCCTTTGTAGTCTGTAATAGTTTGCAAGCCCTGCCACATCCGAGCGTCGGAGCCGGTGTAGTACGATTCAGTCTTAGTCCTGTTTTGACGCTTTACCTGTTTGATGGTTCGTCGGAGGGCATAGCGGGATGTCTTCTAAGCATCCGGGTTAGAGTCCCGCTCCTTGAAAGCGGCAGCTCTACCCTTTAGCTCAGTGCGGATGTTGCCTGTAATCCATGGCTTCTGGTTGGGGTATGTGCGTACGGTCACTGTGGGGACGACATCATCGATGCACTTATTGATGAAGCCAGTGACTGATGTGGTGTACTCCCCAATGCCATCAGAAGAATCCCGGAACATATTCCAGTCTGTGCTAGCAAAACAGTCCTGTAGCTTAGCATCTGTGTCATCTGACCACTTCTGTATTGAGCGAGTCACTGGTAATTCCTGCTTTAGTTTTAGCTTGTAAGCAGGAATCAGGAGGATAGAATTGTGATCAGATTTGCCAAATGGAGGGCGAGGGAGAGCTTTGTACGCATCTCTGTGTGTGGAGTAAAGGTGGTCTAGAGTTTTTTTTTCCTCTGGTTGCACATTTAACATGCTGGTAGAAATTAGGTAAAACAGATTTAATTTTCCCTGCATTAAAGTCCCCGGCCACTAGGAGCGCCACCTCTGGATGAGCATTTTCTTGTTTGCTCATGCCTTATACAGCCCGTTGAGTGCGGTCTTAGTGCCAGCATTGGTTTGTGGTGGTAAATAGACAGCTATGAAAAATATAGATGATAAACTCTCTTGGTAAATAGTGTGGTCTCCAGCTTATCATGAGATACTCTACCTCAGGCGAGCAAGAAATCCCGCTAGCTTGATAGGCAGCTAGCTAGCAGCTAGGCTAGTTGCTACGCCAAATGGCTCCTCAGACCCGGCCTTGGTCGGCAGGATCACTGGACAGAGAGTAGCAGTCCCAGCAACTGATGCCAAATGCGTCCCGGGATCCAAACTAAAAAGTTAACTAGCTACTAAAACTTTCCAACACACTTTCAAAACAACAAATTTGTCAAAACAACAAACCGAGGGGGTAGAGGGTTAGGGGAATATAATAAAGGAAAATGTATGAAAATATATATGGGGAATGATGATGCAGACAATTACATTGATGGAAGCCACAATATATCTGCAATATTAAAGCTGATCTACCTCCTAGAAATAACATTTTTTTTTAAAGCGAATAACTCTTCTTGCTCTCATCAACAAGCACAATGCCTCCATAACTTGCTCTGTATAATGCATCTACATGGATTCATGACCTTCTGTGCCCACTACCTTCGGCCTGGTCCTAGATAGGTGTTTTATCCAACTCCTCTGACTATTGATGTCCTGCTATAAGAGATGAGCTGGATAAAGCCCATACAGACAGATCTAGGACCAGCCAGGCTACTGTCCTCCTATGCTGATGCTGGCCCTCTTTGTGTCCCCAGGTCGTATCTTTGCTAACACACCAGATTCTGCCTGTGTGCTGGGCATGAAGAAGAGATCCCTGATCTTCCAACCCCTGGCTTCCCTCAAGGAAGACACTGACTTTGAGTAAGTCCTAATCCTCCCTGTGTTTCCACACCTCCTTCTCGTTCTCTCCTCCTTCTCTTTCTCTCCTCCTCTCTCTTGTTTGTGACTCTTCATCGTGTGTTCCACATTGAGTTCAGTTGTGTTTTAATGACGAGCAATGGTAAGTAAGTGCTGTTTTTTGGAATTATGTGTCAATCCAGTTAGAACCATTGAACCAGCCCAGGTTCCTTCTATCATTTATCTTCTTATTCTTCCTCTATTTCCTGTTTTCTTTCTCTGATCCCACTCTTCTTACCCTCCTCCTTCACACTCCCCTCTTCTACCATCCTATTTTCTCTCTCCTCTCCCTCACTCTATCCTTCTCTCCTCCCTCCACAGGCACCGTATCCCAAAGACCGAGTGGTGGCTGAAGCTGAGGCCCATCCTGAAGATCCTGGCCAGGTATGAAGCTGTGGAAATCGACACCTCTGAGGCGGCTGCCATGGAGCACATCATCAAGAAGACAGGCGAAATCAATGGGGGCAAAATGTAAACAAACCAAATAAACACACACAACCTCACATACATACACACCCTTAGTCTAGCACCTAGACCCACCCGCACCTAATGAAGAGAAATTGACCGTAACAGTAGCAACACGCACCCACCTGAGGATCTGTCTTTTTCAGCCATATTTTTCCTGTGTTTGAGGGGTGCAAACTCCACTTTTCACTTAAATCTCGCTGGACTGATATGCTTCATTGTACTCCTGTGACTCTTTAATACTATTTATTGTGCCTATCGTTTTTACCCGTTAACGTTACGACCGTGGAAATGTTTGTAATGACCTGTCAAACACATCCCGGTAATGGCTTAAAGGGGCTCAATGGAAAACATTGTCTTTCCGTTGTATCTAGAAGAACACTTTGTCTGCGATTGAAACGCATAGTCTCAACACTTACATCACAGGAAAGAGAAGAAAGTTAACTTTATTTTGATGGGTGTTCATTTTTTGTGGAGCTGAAAAAAGTAATGATTTAATACAGTTTACATTTTTACAAATGAGATGCGCTAAAATGAAAGCAACTTCCGAAAAGGAACACTCGGATTATAGTGATATTATGTCTGATCTCACAAACGATGTAAAGTATGTATAGATAGGTGTAATCTATTCTAAGACAAATTGAAATTTGACAATAAATTGAATGCCTGAATTCTCACCAAAATCCCTGAACTTTTCCTTGGCAGTAAAATGTTTTATGTGCTATGATTCAGTCAATATATAATGGATACATTGTTTTCAAAAAGTTTGGAGTATCTTCATCCATTGTCCAACTGTTGCATTTATTAGAATTGTTTTAAAAACCTTTTAACAATTTTGATGACTGTTGCTAGTAACAGTCAACCATTCAGTCAACTGATGGGTGTAGCATATCAATACAGTCCTAATGGTTATGATGAAAAGACTGTATATACAGTTTGTGTGGAGCTTTGAACTGTCCTACGTCACAGAAGTCATTCTACATCATTCTGCATCTGGCAAACCTTCAACAATACTGTGCAGATCTCTCAGGAAAGTCAGAGTCTAACACTTATCTCAAAACCACAAACACCCTCAGTGTAGTGTTTCCTGTGTCTGGTTTATTGCCTTCTCCCCTGTTTGTATGGCAGAACAGTTTAGAAATTAATACATCTTTCTTCCATTGAAACTGAACTAGGATATGTAATAAAACGTTCTATTTAGTTTTTTTGGACTATTTGACATGATGAAAGAATTTAGAATTTACTATGTTTATTGAAAATCAAATATTGAATGTTTAGTGATAAAAGGGCAACAATGTATTGCAAAGAAAATGTAACTCATTTTTATTAAACGATGCCTAATAGGCTGACTAAGTACAGTCTACCCCAATAATATAGTTGTTATGCATTTAGTAATTAAACAAATACAAAATGTAAGAGTGTGGGTAAAAAAATGTTTTCAAGGCTAGATGGTCCTACACTGATTGGAAACCGAGATAATGATGACTGACAGAAGAAATTAAGATTGTAAGTCGCTCTGGATAAGAGTGTCTGCTAAATGACTCAATTGTAAAATGTAGACCGTGGCACCTTCTGCAAGTTCCCCTGGTTTCTATTGTATGAGTCATGACAGCTCAACCATGACCATTTCCCTATTTACTCTTTCTTCCTTAGTTACAAATGTTACTGAGTATACCAAACGTGTGTGTACACAATAGTATGCCCTCTTTGAGGGGAATTCAGACCCGAGTTACGTGCACGTAAATGGAAATTAATTCCCTTTTTATGCACTTTTCTTTCTAGGGGAGAGTGGGGTGTGTTGAGCCATTTTTTACATTCAGCATCACTGTCAATGGAAATTTGGTATTCTTTCTAACAAAGATATCTACATATATTTCAGGATGTTGTGTATCCCTGGAAATAATTAGAATTGATGTAAACATTACAGTTTTGAAAACATAGCTTGTCCAAAAAAAGTGGTCTCTTGGCACAACTTACCCAGGGTATGGGGTAAGATGAGCCTCGGGACAGGGTGAGTTAAGCCGCCTACAAATTTCTGTACTGAATGATATATTACCACCACCTTTTTAAAACCATGTCTATCTTTATTCCCCAAACACAATTCAAAACAATCACAATCGCTTTCTTTTAATTATTTTAACCACATTTTAACACAGCACCAATGACATTATCCCTCCACCCAAATGAAAATCAAAATGGTGCATATGGCTGTATCTACTCAACTTACCCCATGGCCATTGGCTCAACTTACACCAAGGCAAACATTTTGACTATATTAGCCCACACAGCTACAAGGATGCACTTTCATGCTAGGTTTAGGACATTGAAGCTTATAGAGACCCCAAATGATTGTTCTATAAATCTTAAAATGATCTACTTTGGTTTAGATACAAGCATCATGAAACCTCTAACACAATAGATTAATTTGACTTGGGCCTAACTTCCTTACCACTCTTTCTTCCTTCAGACTCCGAGATAAGTCTGAAGGAAGAAATATCCTAAATATTTGGTCAAATTGTTTCCTAGAAACAAGGGTGGCTTAACATACCCCTTTGGCTCAACTTACCCCAGTCTACCATATGCATATTTTGACCTTGAATTTAAAGGGGGGCTGAACTTCCTGAATTAGCCTCGGTTTCAGTTCTCCTCATTAGGAACTGCGGCTGAGAACAAGATTTGGGTTTTGGAGGCGTGCATTGGTGTGGGTGTCTCTTGTGTGTGTTCGAATATGGGAAGCGTACTTTCACTCTGCCAAAACAGTACACATTTACAGTCTAACCAGGTCTTGTCTGGAAGTAGCCTAGCAAGCTAGCCAATTTATTTCGCCAATTAGCTTCACCTGGCTGGTGTGAGACTGTGGCAAAGTAGGTTTGACTTTGGATAGCCTATCTGTGAGGCTAGTCAATAAATTACACAATGTAAATGAGACAATATTTTCATGTTGCACACCTTTTAGTTGTCTCAATCAAATGCTTTCAATATTTGTATATGCATTTCTAAAATGTATGGTTGGTTTGAGGTTTTTAAGTAATTGAAATGTGGAGCTATTGACATTTTAAATCGTTCTCCCATGTATATTGTGTAATTTTCTGATGGTCCCTAACTAGCCCCATAGGGAAATCGAATGTCAAACCAAATTGACCATGGGCATTATGATCTGGTCGCATGCAGATGCACTCCGAATTGATGATAACTTGGGTGCTGCCAGCTGTGGGCAGGCTTGAAAACCCAACCCAAAGAGAACTGTTACGATACCCTTCATTCCATGACATACACATTTTTCCTAATCATCGCGCAAATCTCCGTTTTGGACGAGACTGACTTTATGACCAAAATTATTCTATTTACACTTTGTAGTAAATGTTGACACTAGAATAAATGTTTGTGAGTCATATCGATGCCATATAGGCTGTTTTCAAAAACAAGAAGTTGCTTATTAGGTTCAATTGCTCTTAAAGCATTGGGAAACGCCACTGCCAGCCAAGTACACGTTTGGGGTGGAGACATAGCCACAGGAAGTACCGCACCCACTTAAAAATCGGAATAAATGATTATATATACACTACCAGTCAAATGTTTGGACATACCTACTCATTCAAGGGTTTTTCTTTATTTTTACAATTTTTTACATTGTAGAATAATAGTGAAGACATCAAAACTATGAAATAAAACATATGGAATCATGTAGTAACCAAAAAAGTGTTAAACAAATCAAAATATTCTTCAAATAGCCACCCTTTGCCTTGATGACAGCTTTGCACACTCTTGGCATTCTCTCAACCAGCTTCACCTGGAATGTTTTTCCAACCGTCTTGAAGGAGTTCCCACATATGCTGAGCACTTGTTGGCTGCTTTTCCTTCGACTCATCCCAAACCATCTCAATTGGGTTGAGGTCGGGGGATTGTGGAGGCCAGGTCATCTGATGCAGCACCCCATCACTCTCCTTCTTGGTAAAATAACCCTTACACAGCCTGGAGGTGTGTTGGGTCATTGTCCTGTTGAAAAACAAATCATAGTCCCACTAAGCCCAAACCAGATGGGATGGCATATCGCTGCAGAATGCTGTGGTAGACATGCTGGTTAAGTGTGCAATGAATTCTAAATAAATCACAGACAGTGTCACCAGCAAAGCATCCCCACACCATAACACCTCCTCCTCCATGTTTTACAGTGGGAAATACACATGCTGAGATAATCCACTCACCCACACCGCGTCTCACAAAGACACGGTGGTTGGAACCAAAAATCTACAATGTAGAAAATAGTAAAAATAAAGGAAATCCCTGGAATGAGTAGGTGTGTCCAAACTTTTGACTGGTACTGTATATATTTCCACCGGTCTAATGTCCATTGCTCGTGTTTCTTGGCCCAAGCAAGTCTCTTCTTCTTGTTGGTGTCCTTTAGTAGTGGTTTCTTTGCAGCAATTCAACCATGAAGGCCTGATTCACACAGTCTCTTCTGAACAGTTGATGTTGAGATGTGTCTGTTACTTGAACTGTGTGAAGCATTTATTTGGGCTGCAATTTCTGAGGCTGATAACTCTAATGACCTTATCCTCTGCAGCAGAGGTAACTCTGGGTCTTCCATTCCAGTGGCGGTCCTCATGAGAAAAAAAAATGTTTCTTTACAAAAGTAGTGCACTGGGCCGTCACCCAGACAGTCAGGCAAGCTGCAATATGTAATATGCAGTCTGTGGTTTGTGCCAACCATGCCTGCCCCATTTCTGACAATAGCAAACTTCCTTCCCAGAACATCTGCAGCGTGTGTGTGTGAGAAAGAGAGAGAGAGCATATCTTTAATGAGGCCCATAGATGTGAGGCTATGATGCCCAAAAGACACGTTCTAAGCAGGCCTTGAAATGTATAAGTGTAATGTATGTACATTAGGTGGATGAACATTGGGTGTAGCTGTGGATGAGAAAGCAAGTGTTTGTAAGCATAAGAGTGATATTCAAATCACTACAATTATTTATTGCGATCATGTATGATCATACCAATATTGGAAGCTCCGGGGAACGTTTCTGAATTAGAAATAAGGTTTGGTTTAGCTTTGAGTTTCATTTCTTACATTAAGGAGATGGGAGAAAGCCTCTGGTTTCCAACTAGCGGCTCAAAATTAGTTGTGGATTATTTTTCTCGTTTTCAAGAGGATCGGCTACAGAAACATCAGAAAATTAACATTGTGTGGTGTCTGGTTGACAACTTGTGAGAACTCAAGGGGAAGTGGTCTGTCTGCTGTGTTCTGTGCCCGCCTCCTGCTCCATGTCTTCTCACGACACTCTAGACTTTCTCTTTCTAGAAGAAGTCCCTCATCCTCTCTGTCTGTCTATTGCTCACTCCATCTATATCCTCAGGCAATGGTTTGGATCTTTATATTAGGGACCTTTCTCTCGTACTGTGTGGGACAGAACCAAATTCAAGGTAAGTACATTACATCTACAACTACTACTCAGGGTTGGGGATATCCCATTTTAATAGAGGAAATGACTTGAAATTCTTATTCAAGAATTGAAAAGTGTCATTTATTTCCAATGATGATTTTGCAATTGTTGAGTAAGAATTCACTTCCAGAATTGACAAGCATGACCCTAACCCTGGTACTGGTACCTGGCACAAGGCAGACATGGTTAATGGCAGGTCCGTTATGAGAGTAGTGTTTCCCCTATATTAATTTAGCAAACCATAGGCAAAATTGCCACGGGGAACAGGTCCCCCCTTGCTTTAACAGTCGACTTTGGGCATGAAAACAGTCCAATTTTCAAACAGAAATGGGGTGTGCCTTTGGTGGTTCATTGATGTGTCTTTCTGGTCATGCGCGCCACAACCGACGTAGCTAGTTCGTTGGCTAAGATAGCCACTTGTAGCTAGCCAGTAACTCCTCCAGCATGTGTTGACGTCATTTCACAGGATTTGTTTTTGGACGGAAGCTGTAGAGATCATTAAGAAACACAGGAGGTTGGTGGCACCTTAATTGTGGCGAACGGGTTCGTGGTAATGACTGGAGCGGAATTAGTGGAAAGGTAACAAATACATCAAATACATGGTTTCCAGGTGTTTGATGCCAATTCATTCGCTCCTTTCCGGCCATTATCATGAGCCGTTCTCCTCTTAGCAGCCTCCTATGGTAAGAAATGGCAAATATCTTATATATTATTCATCCATTTTCTTTAAGCATTAAATGACCTGGTATGATGGTGCATTGGTCATTTACACAGTTTAAATACTTATTTTTTGCGTTTTTGCGTTTTTGCCCAATGTTGACCTTTAAAGTAACTGTCCAGTGTTTCCAGATTTCTATGAAATATGACTTATCAATAATTAGAATATGAGTGAAATAGTTTTATTTCCAATTTTTTTTTATTAAGTATATTAAAAAGCAGCTTTTCTGTGTTGGAATGGTGTGGGAGTACCCCAACAACAGACTGGTGTGGGCGTATACCGGTCATAAAAAATATTTATGCAAGTAGACCCCTAATTGGCCAGCTCATCCTCCTCAGGAGGATAACATCATCCTCTATGAGGAAATAGCAAGCATTTTTTAAACGATCTGTTTGAGATACAAGTTTTGCATTTTTTACATGTATGCTTTGGCCACAAATACGAGTATAGGGTCAACAACATTATTTGGGTATAAGTTAACAGAATATGAACTTTTAAAAGTGAGATTTTCACCAGACAGTTACTTTAAAACTGCAACATTTTCTCTCAGCCTCATGGCAAAATGTGTAGAGTAGCAAGAAATTAGCTTTAAAACTGCAACATTTTCGCTCAGACTCATGACAAAATGTATAGAATAGCATTATAAAACTGCACCTTTTTCTCTCTGCCCCATGGCAAAATGTGTTGAAATGCAGGAAGTTTGCTGTTTTCTCCCAAAAAAAATATGTTCTGGGGGGCCTTACACTTATACTTCCACTTCTACTTTCAAAATACCCCTCCACATCCTCCTCAACATACCCCTCAAGAGAGGCATTATAGAATTGCAGTAAATGTGTTTTTAAATGTTTTTTCAGGTACCACCTGGATCCACCGTCTACTGTTCATCCCCCCCAATATGTACACCACAATTTCGCCCTTGTAGCAGACCCTCCTAGACCTCTGCTGTGGGTTTGTGCCTGAGAGAGTCAGGAATCATTAATGATGTCACTGTTGTGTTTGGTGTGTCAGGGGTCCACCAAGGATGTGTGTCCCAGCCCTCATGTTTCGCTTGCCTGAGGAGCCCTGGATGTGCCTGGTGCAAACACAAGGTCAGCTTTATCATGTATCATCTGGCTTGCTGCTGCTGCCTGTATTTCTTTGTTTCAAACTGTTGCATGTTTTATCCTCGAGTGTTGCTATACTTTGGACTTGATTGCTTTGTGAGTTGACTTCTTAGGGCTCTCTAATGGGCCCCCTCTCTGTGGACAACATGTGGGATGACGGCATTAGGGCCTTCACACTGTAGGAGCTACTTACAATAGGATCAAATACATTTATTTGTCACATGCGTTGTAAACAACAGGTGTACACTAACAGTAAAATGGGGTCCTTCCCAACAATGCAGAGAGAGAAAAAAGAGAAATAGTAGAAAAAAATAAGAAGAATAACAAGGGGAAGTGGGTCTTCACTCCAGTCTGAATGGTGATAGCCTTTTGCAACTTGGGTGAGATCATAGACAATGATGTCCCATCAAGCTCATGTAAGATTATGTGGATGTTATATTATCAACATTTTGAATAGCTTCTACAGTTTAGCAGACATTTTACTTAGAGTTATGGGTTGAATTATACAGGACCTTAAATTTAGTGGTGGAATAGGTCACGTGACGAGTCAAACACTTTTAAAAAATAACAACTCCTGACCTCCTGGTGATAAGAGGTGTGAAAGGTTAGATTGACGGAAAGCCAGTTAGGTCAAGTGAATATTTAAATTCCTCCTTCACATTGTCATTCATTTAGAGGAAAAGTTATTTTCCAATCGTTTCGTTCTGCACATAACATAATTTTTTGTTTTCACTGTTCCAACCAGCAAAAGAAAGTTCTGAACCAGTTCGAAACAAAACAAGTAACGCTTTATATAATTCCTTTTGGTTCCTTTTTAAACCTCAGAAATATTTTTTTTTACATTTAGCTCAACATTAAATTACTTCACCAATGGATAGAGCAGCTTGCTATGGAGCAGGCATGACAAATGCATTGGACAGACAAATCAAATCAAATCAATTTTTATTTGTCACATACACGTGTTTAGCAGATGTTATTGCGGGTGTAGCAAAATGCTTGTGCTTCTAGCTTCGACAGTGCAGTAATATCTAACAAGTAATATCTAACAATTTCACAACATATATTCAATACACACAAATCTAGTAAGGAATGGAATTTAAGAATATATACATATATGGACAAGCAATGACAGAGCGGTATGGACTAAGATACAGTAGAATATTATAGAATATAATACAGTATATACATATGAGATGAGTAGTGCAAGATATGTAAACATTATTAAAGTGACTAGTGTTCCATTTCTTAAAGTGGCCAGTAGAATATTGAGCATGTTTGGGATGCTCTGGATCGATACGTACGACAGCATGTTCCAGTTCCCGCCAATATACAGCAACTTCGCACAGCCATTGAAGCCGAGTGGGACAACATCCCACAGGCCACAATCAACAGCCTGATCAACTCTATGTGAAGGAGATGTGTCGCGCTGCATGAGGCAAATTGTGGTCACACCAGATACTGACTGGTTTTCTGATCCATGCCCCTACTTTTTTTTAAGGTATCTGTGACCAACAGATGCATATCTGTATTCCAAGTCATGTGCAATCCAAAGATTAGGGCCTAATGAATTTATTTCAATTGACTGATTTCCTTATATGAACTGTTACTCTGTAAAATCTTTGAAATTGTTGCATGTTGCATTTTTGGGGGAGTTTCTCCCATTCTTCTCTGCAGATCCTCTCAAGCTCTGTTAGGTTGGATGGGGAGCGTCGCTGCACAGCTATTTTCAGGTCTCTCCAGAGATGTTTGATCGGGTTCATGTACGGGCTCTGGCTGGACCACTCAAGGACATTCAGAGACTTGTCCCGAAGCCACTCCTGCGTTGTCTTGGCTGTGTGCTTACGGTCGTTGTCCTGTTGGAAGGTGAACCTTCACCCCAGTCTGAGGTCCTGAGCGCTTTGGAGCAGATTTTCATCAAGGATCTCTCTGTACATTGCTCTAGTCTCCCTGCCACTGAAAAACATCCCCACAGCATGATACTGCCACCACCATGCTTCACCGTAGGGATGGTGCCAGGTTTCCTCCAGACGTGACGCTTGTCATTCAGGCCAAAGAGTTCAATCTTGGTTTCATCAGACCAGAGAATCTTGTTTCTCATGGTCTGAGAGTCCTTTAGGTGCCTTTTGGCAAACTCCAAGCGGGCTGTTTTGTGCCTTTTACTGAGGAGTGGCTTCTGTCTGGCCACTCTACCATAAAGGCCTGATTGGTGGAGTGCTGCAGAGATGGTTGTCCTTCTGGAAGGTTCTCCCATCTCCGCAGAGGAACTCTGGAGCTCTGTCAGAGTGACCATTGGGTTCTTGTTCACCTCCCTGACCAAGGCCCTTCTCCCCCAATTGCTCAGTTTGGCCGGGCGGCCAGCTCTAGGAAGAGTCTTGGTGGTTCCAATCTTCTTCCATTTAAGAATGATGGAGGCCACTGTGTTCTTGGGGACCTTCAATGCTGCAGAAGGTTTTGGTACCCTTCCCCAGATCTGTGCCTCGACACAATCCTGTCTCGGAGCTCTACGGACAATTCCTCTGACCTCATGGCTTGGTTTTTGAACTGACATGCACTGTCAACTGTCGGACCTTATGAGGGACAGGTGTGTGCCTTTCCAAATCATGTCCAAACAATTGAACTCTAATCAAGTTGTAGAAACATCTCAAATATGATCAATGGAAACAGGATGCACCTGAGCTCAAATTTCTAGTCTCATAGCAAAGGGTCTGAATACTCCTGAGTGGCGCAGTGGTCTAAGGCACTGCATCGCGCAGTGGTCTAAGGCACTGCATCGCAGTGCTAGCTGTGCCACTAGAGATCCTGGTTTGAATCCAGGCTCTGTCGTAGCCGGCCGTGACCAGGAGACCCATGGGGCGGCGCGCAATTGGCCCAGCGTCGTCCAGGGTAGGGGAGGGAATGGCCGGCAGGGATGTAGCTCAGTTGATAGAGCATGGCGTTTGCAACGCCAGGGTTGTGGGTTCGATTCCCACAGGGGGTATGAAAAAATAAATAAATAATGTAAGTCGCTCTGGATAAGAGCGTCTGCTAAATGACGTAAATGTAAAATGTAAATTAGGTATTTCTGTTTTTTATTTTTAATACATTTGCAAACATTTCTAAAAACCTGTTTTTGCTTTGTCATTATGGGGTATTGTGTGTAGATTGATGAGGAATTAAAAAAAAAATCCATTTTAGAATAAGGCTGTAACGTATCAAAATGTGGGAAAGGGAAGGGGTCTGAATACTTTCCGAATGCACTTTATATCAATATGAAAACCTCGTAGTTTACTGACTTTGTGTGTAATAGACCAGAAATATATATCAGTTTACTCATCCAGAGCTAAGCTTTAGCAATGTTGCTAGTTATCCATATGATATCGTGTATTTTTCATTTTAGAGAACTATAGCTTTAACAAATGTGTGATGAACATGAATTAATATATTTGATGATGTGATTAGAAAGAAGGAAGGGTATTCTCTTTATTTAATCATTAAATGTCTGTACTTATCTATTGAAATTGAAATAATTTGAACATTCTGTGCCAGATAGAACCTTATGTCTGAATCCAGATTTACATTTCAGAGCCATATGGTTCTATCTGCGATTGCACCCCCTAAAAAATTTTATGTACAAATGTCTTAGGATTTTGATACTCTGTACTTTGGGTACCTTAAGGTAAGGACCTTAATGGGTTATGAAAGAAGAATTCACTACAAAAATTCTGAGATCTGGGATGTGAAAACTTTAATGCTCAATATCTCAGAACTATGCTTTGCGGCAGTCAGAACCTTATAGTCCCAAGGTCTCGAATTGTCAATCATGTATCACTATCACTGATCCTTCATTAGACATCAGAAAGTAGGATAGATTTAATCTCATGCTTATCTTGCTTAGATATTTGAAGCGAATCAGTGAGACTCTTGCTTACAATTAAAAACGGTTTTATTCTTTTCAAGTTAATAACATGATGTTTCAGCTGTCAAATCCCACTGGGCACAGATGTCAGTTCATCGTCTATTTCACGTTGGTTCAATGTAATTTCATTGAAATTACGTGGAAACAACGTTGAATCAACCAGTGTGTGCCCAGTGGGTTGTCTTAAACAGAATCAGTAAACACGCAGTCTTGCTCGGGTGCCCATGTCTTACAGAACATGTGTATGTTCTGTATCCTGCTCTCAGTTTGAGGTTGATATTTGAATGGTGTAGTTTGCTGCTGCAGCGCTCTGTGGTTTCCTAAACTAGTCGTGCTACTTGTGTCAGACTCACGTCCGTCTTTCTATTCTATTTCCACATTCATTTCCTGTTAATGTCTGTGGTATAATATTTTTCCCCATGAGTCAAGATATTGGTGATACATTCAAATGTTTGTTGGCTTTGACTTGAACTCTGTCATTTCTCCCTGTAACCAAAGCAACAGTCTAATCTATAGGTCCTATCTATCATAATGCGTATCCTATGTATCTTTAAAGATAATAATTCAATTTTTGCCTGATACAGAGATGTACCCCCATCTGTTGGATTGACAGCAGGCAGGCCCACATGATAATCTGGCACCCCACGTGTATGAGTCAGTGTTTTATTTTCTCTATCATTAGTCTGACACACTGAACTAAGACCATAATACCCATCCTCCTGACAGGACTTCCTGAAGTCTGGGGAGTCCAGTGAGCGGAGGTGTGACACTGCTGAGTCTCTGAGGACCAGGCGTTGTGAGCAGATGGACATCATCAACCCCCAATCAGAACAGGTCTTTCTGAAGAACAATGAGCTCAGCAGCAACTCAGACAATGTGGTCCAGCTTAAGCCACAAAACCTCCTCTTCAAACTTAGAGTCGGTGAGAATTATATGACTCTTCCTAGAAGGCAGTATTTCTCAGAATACAAACAGGGACAGGTCTGAAATCTGAAATTCATGGTGGTTCTTTCTAGATTATTTTTGAAGACATGCAAAGTAATAGAAATAACGACTTGTGATGTGAAGTATTGTATTGATACATGTATTTGCAGTTGATAACTGTTCTAACTGACCTGTTTGGTTTCAGGAGTCCCTCAGACCTTCAGTGTGTCATTCAAGAGAGCCGAGGGCTACCCCATAGACCTGTACTACCTGATGGACCTGTCTTTCTCCATGAAGGATGACCTGGACACCATCAAGAACCTAGGCCAGGACATCCTCTCTACGCTGAAAAAAGTAACCCAGAAGGTCCGCATAGGTGAGTGCTGAGGAGACAGACTTTTGCAGAAGATAGGATTTCATGTCAGGATTTCAATCAACTGTGTGTAGTCATCCGACTACGCCACCTCTCCTCATCCTGTCCATCTCTATCCCTCTCCTCTCGCCGCTGTCAGGCTTCGGCTCATTTGTAGACAAGGTGGCTCTGCCGTACGTCAACCAGGTGAAGGCCAAAAAGAATAATCCCTGTCCTAACCGCCTGAACACCTGTCAACCTGCCTTCAGCTTCCAGAATATTCTGGGACTCACAAAAGACGTGGCCGAGTTCAAGACCAGGGTCAGCAACCAGATCATCTCTGGAAACCTGGACTCCCCCGAGGCAGGATTTGACGCAATCATGCAGGCAGCTGTCTGCCAGGTAGTGTCATACATAACCAAACACAGCCACCTCCACTTTATGGATTGGAGGGAAGGATGTCTAGAACATCCATATTTCTTTTTCTATGGGTATCTCCTTCTTTCTCTCTCTCTTTACTCTCCTTCTCTAACTTGCCTCACACCATCTCTGTCACTCTGTGTCTCTCTCTTTCCTTCCAGGGTTTGATTGGTTGGAATAATGTCACCCGGATCCTGGTCTACACGTCAGATGACACCTTCCACATTGCCGGGGACGGCAGGCTGGCTGGTATATTCGAGCCTCATGACGGGATATGCCATCTCAATGTCAGCGGCTTCTACGATGGCACTAAATATGTGAGTTATCAACAGAGGGGAAGGATGATCAACGCTTAGAAGATGTGAGCTTGTTTCAGTGATAGGGGCTGACATTTGTTGCGGAAGAACTGGGGTACTACAACGTTTTTCTGTGGTTATTTATTCCACTTCCTGTATATGTCTCAGGACTACCCGTCGGTTGGCCACCTTGCCAGGGTCCTGGCAGCTAATAACATCCAGCTCATCTTTGCTGTCACCGAGGACGGTGTTGCTGCCTACAAGGTCAGGACTGACAGGAGAGGTAGCTTGTAAGAGCAGATTACAAAATTTCACAAAATGTTTAAAGGCCCAGTGCAGTCAAAAACGTGATTTTCCTGTGTTTTATATATATTTCCACACTATGAGGTTGGAATAATGCTGTGAAATTGCGAAAATGATGATAATACCCTTTTAGTGTAAGAGCTGTTTTAAAAGACCGCCTGAAATTTCAGCCTGTTTTGGTGGCATGTAGTTTTTGCCTGCCTGGTGACATGAGTTAATAGACCAATAAGAAAGAGAGTTCCAAATCTTTCTGCCATTAACAGCTAGTTTTCATTTTTCACTTCCCCACTAAGACCACTTCCAGACAGTCCCAGCAAAATTCTTGCTTGAGAAACTTCTGTTTGCTAAGAAGTTTTCTTTTTTTTGTTGTTGACCATTTTAATTGAAAACAATCACAGTAAGGTACTTAATTGTTACTCAGAAATGCTTTGATATTGAGATAAAAACGTCTGCCTTGGACCTTTAACCTCAGTATTTCTACCTCCTCCCATCTCTCTCTATTGTGCCCATACCTAAACACACACACACACACACACACACACACACACACACACACACACACACACACACACACACACACACACACACACACACACTTCTCTAGGCATTGAGTAAACTAATCCCTCAGTCAGTGGTGGGAGTCCTAAAGAACGACTCCAGCAACGTGGTCCAGCTCATCTCAGAGGCCTACAATGTGAGTATCTCAAGCCTAGAATACTACAAGCTACTGGGAAATGGTGAAATGCTGCAATGACCAAAGAAAACCTACGTATTCAAGAGGACAGCTTTATTTGAAACAGAGATGCTGAAGCTGGAAATAAAAGCATGTCTGTGGTTATGCTCATGAGTCACACTGCAGACTAAAAGGGTAGAACTAGCTCTCATACGTATTCTCACTGGAAACCTTCACCATGGTTAGCTACTGACGTATGTAGTGTGTGCTGTGCTCTCACAGGTCGAAAAATAGGCTGTGGCAAATTATGTCTAAATCTTCCTAGTGGTGACTTTAAAGGTTTCATACATGATATCCCTACATTTCTCTAGATAGGAATATGTTAAAAGTAGAGAAATATAAACTGTTTTTGCAAATGTATTACTTACAATCAAATGTATTACCGTGGTTTTGCAATGAAATTCCATTTATTGGACACATAGACATAAATGTAACATCATCAACTGTTCTATCTAGTAATGCATATCTATTCACAGAACCTGTCCTCCACCATCTTACTGGAGCACCATGGAGCCCCCTCAGGTCTGGACGTGTCCTACAGATCCCACTGCACCCCTGGAGAAGGGGACAACACCCCGTGGCAGAGGAGGGGCGAGTGCATGAACGTCAAGCTCAACCAGCAGGTCTGGCACAAAGCAGGGGCGGGGAAGAGATCATGATGTGAACAAGAACAGCAAAGCTCAAGTCTTCAATGGATTTTAGTCATGTAACTTGGACTTACAGACCAATTTGTTGTGTATTATCCCCTCCCTTGCTCCCAGGTCGACTTCACGGTAAGCCTGAACATTTCAACATGTCTGAAGGAGAAGCAGACGTTTTCCCTCAAACTGCAGGGCATGAGCGAGACCCTGAAGGTCTCTGTGGAAACCCTGTGTGACTGTAACTGCCATGACAGAGAAGAGCAGTCCACACACTGCAATGAAAATGGAACGCTCACCTGCGGCATCTGCAGGCAAGTCCTAAAATTATGACTAGAACTCACAGCATCTCCTGTTTGGTGAGATAGAGAACTGTCGTTACAAACTGCACGGAGTAAGGGAAACAGCTGCAGTCTGCAGTCTTACCGTTACCACAGAGCAGTAAACTAGTTTCTGTAGTCAAAGAAATGTATCAAAGAAATACTGTAAGTTCTCACAATCAAAATCAAAACTTCAGGTGATTCAAGCCAATAGTTATCCAAAGAAAGTGATTACAGAGATAGTGATTCAAGTGTTGTTTAGATACTGATGAGTAGGACTAGGAGTGTTCCCTGATCAAGTGACCTGACCAGGAACAACTCCTGGCCCAAATTATAGGCTTTAAGTACCAGAATTTCCCCAGTTTTTTGTTGTTTTCCCTGGCTTTTCATCGTTTTTGTAAAATACTATGCCCTTTAGCTGTGACGAGGGTCACCTGGGTCAGAGGTGTGAGTGTGAGCGGCCTAAGGACATGACCTCTGCCGACTCTATGGACGCAGCATGTCGCCAAGACAACTCGCAGCTGTGCAGCGGGCATGGGAGCTGTGAGTGTGGCAAGTGTGTGTGCCAGGGCACCCACCACGGCAATTTCTGCCAATGTGATGACAACAGCTGTGCCCGCCACAACAACATGCTCTGCGGTGGTGAGTAAGCTCAAACAGTTAGTTCCAACCATGCATTTTGATTGGCTAAAGAATGTGTTCCTTAGCTGTACTTCATTGCAGCCCATTTGTCTGCCGTGATTGACAGGTAATGTCTCCTGCAGGTAATGGGCAGTGTGAATGTGGAACATGTAAGTGTAAGGCCAACTACACAGGCTCTGCGTGTGACTGCTCCACCCTCACCGACCAGTGCAGGACTGTTGGGAAGCTGTGCAATGGCCAGGGAACATGCCAGTGTAACCAGTGCCAGTGCAACAAAGAGTTTGTTGGCATAAACTGCTCAAAGATTGCTAACGCATGCCCAAAATTCCTGTGAGTACAAGACAATAATTTAAAGTGAGTTTGGATTGAGCGTCCAGGTTGACAAAGCTTAGGTCTTAAATAGTGACTGTATAGCAACACTTTACACTACAATAATGCAGTGTGTGTGGGGGGGGGTTGGTTATTCTATCCTTGTGGGGACCTAAAATCCCCAAAAGTCCCCACAAGGATAGTAAAACAAGGAAAATGTCCCACGTCCCCGTGAGAACAAAGGCTATTTTAATCTTAGGGGTTAGGTTTAGGGTTAGGGTTACAATTAGGGTTAGGGTTAGAATTAGGGTTAGGGTTAGGGTAAGGGTAAGGGTAAGGGGTTAAGGTTAGGAGTTAGGTTTAGGGTTTGGGTTTGGGTTAGGTTTAGGGTTAGGTGTTAGGGAAAACAGGATTTTGAATGGAAATTAAGTTTAGGTCCCCACGAGGATAGAAAAACAAAACGTGTGTGTGTGTGTGTGTACCTTCAGTATGTCTGTTAACCTGTCTTTATGTAACATTTCCAGGGCCTGTGTGATGTGTGAATTGAACAATAAAAATGTAAAGAGTAACTGCAGCCAACCGTGTGGCTCAATCAAGCCCACTTGGGTGAAGGGACCCCAGGAGTTCCCCTGCAGTGAAGACACCATCTCCTACAAAGTGGAGCTGTTCCCTAATGGCAACATCCGGATCTTCTACGCAGATCTGCCTCGTGAGACCTTACATTTATCTCTAATCATCATCCTTAATTTTCATTTTATGTCCTAATGTTTTCACTTTTTCTATTCTCACTGCTCATTGGAGCTATTCATAATATTGCTAGCTTTTAGGCACACCTAAAAATGACTACACCTATGACATACTTATTCTGCCCTATTCTGCTATAGTTGTTTGATCAAATATTTTTTACATTAGACAAAAAGTTTGTTCAATATTTGAGGCTGTATTATAATTCGGGCCAGGGGTTATCCTTACCACGTGACCTGAGCAGGAAAACTGGGGCCCAGTCAGGACACATGTTCTACTACAAACTCTTCCTCTCCACATTCCTGGCAGGCTCTATTGACAAGACTTACGTGATCATCGGCAGCTCTGTGTCCAGCATCATCTTCATTGGCATCGCAGTGATCATCATCAGCAGGCTGATGCTAGAGCTCCACTACCGTAGAGAGTACGCCAGCTTCCTCAAAGCAAAAGAGGACGAAGTCTGGGAAGATGTGAGAGAAAGAACAGTACACACATGACAATGAATCACCATGACGTGAAATAGACTAAATGTCCCAGCAATAACTGGTTGCTTGTCATAACCAAATAACTTTCTATTGTTCTCAGTCTCATCGTTTTTTATATGAATAGTGGATTTCATCATTATTTGTGTGAATGTGTTTGGTCTTCTTATGGTCGTTTTTTTGTTATTGATTTTAGAGCAAATAATCAACTTAATGAGTCTTTAATGCAAGATTTGTAATGTTAGGTGTTGAAATTGATTGTTGATAACATGATTATTGCTCTGTACTAAACCTCTCTCTTGTTTGGTCCTTTTGTGTTTCAGACAAAAAATCCCTTGTTCCAGGATGCCACGACCGTAGTTATGAACCCCATGCACATTCAAGAGGACTGATCCAAACCCATTAGACTCTAAAGCCAACAAACACTTCACTTCCAGAAAACCTGTGATCTACTATAATAAGTGAAAGCCAGACCATATACCGATCATAACTTCAGGGAACTGCAAGAGGAACAAAGACTGTTGTTAAGAGGAACAAAGACTTTGTCATGAGAACATTACATTCTATATCCCTGTATTTCAAGGCCAATGTGTATTTTAGATATGATTTACAGCACGTTTATTCCTGTACTCTAACTCTTCAATGTGATTGCTTACTCTTGTACAGAAGTAGTAGTGAGACCACTCCACTCTCTCTCAACTTTCAGTCTTTTTCTCATGATGAAGTCCCCCATCTCCTCTGCATTTGACTGTTTATTTAAACATTTGACAGTTAAAATGCTCTGAAGTTATTTAATATAGAGATATAGAAATATTAAGTCTTGTGAAGGGTCATTCTTTTTTAGTTTGTGCATATAGTTTGTATTGCATTACATTCCGTTTTTCTTAATGAATTACTTTTGAATTATTATCAGCTGAATTATATTTCAAATTATTCTCTGTACAGTGTATTCATTAAGTAGGCCTATGTGAACACTGTGTGATTGAAATCATATAGTACCATTTTTAATTATATCAATTATAATAAAGTAATTTGTAGTGTAATTAGCAGGCAATAAAGGAGGAAAAACATGAACCAGACGGATGTCAAAATGATTATTAAACTAAGATTAGTCTCTCGTCAGACTCCACAGTGGCTATGAGAATGACCTAAACAAATGATCTTTCGGTTACAAAGACCGTATAGAGTATATACAACTCTGCTGCTGCTGAACATGGGTATTTTGGACATGAAAATACATTTCTATATGAACTAGCCTACATTAGGAAAGGAACGCTGTCGCTACCTCGCTCTCCAACCACTGTGCATGAATTGTGAAGAAATTCAGCAACTTGTGTGCAGTTGAAGTTGCTAAAAAGTTTTTGGGCCCTCATCCACTGAGGTATATGAACGACCTCATCAGGATTTATGAAGGAGGCTTTAATAATGAGGGAGATCGAACAGTAATCTGGGCCGCTCGGTCATATTGTCAACAAATCTTCAAAATAGTTTTCTTTGGAAAGGCAGATAAAGCGTGTTCATGTTTCAATTTAACATTTTGTTTTACATTTGTTTCCTTTTTGGGGGCCCAGCTCTCACATTGTGTGTGTGTGTGTGTGTGTGTGTGCGCGCACTTAAGGAGAAGGGTGGAGAATTGGGACGTAGCCCTCGTGTGCTCTCTCAACCACCTCTACGCCAGTCCTGTACTGAAGGCTACAGTGATATTACAACATAAGGGCTACTCTACGGCATGAATTAAAATGGAATTCTATTCATATTGTAGTCCTATCTTCCCCCACTGAGTTCTTGTATGTGACATTTGTTTGTTGCAAGTCAAGCTTTTTGTTACATACCAATAAATATTGTCCATTGTCAATAGTGGGGACAGTACCAGATCTAGTACCAGGGGGCTGATCTATGATATGGACTGGAATTAGATTCAGTTTCATTTTCCTGTTGTGATATTTGAAAGCTACAAAAGTTATTTTTTGGAAGAACATTTAATTTGCTCCAGACCTGACAGTGTGCCTTTCAACTAATATAGTTTGTGTTCCAACCCTCATGAAACTATGAGAAGGTAGAGGTTCCGCTGACCAACGGCATTGTTGTGTGCGGACAACCCCAGCATCTTCTTTTTTTTTTTTTAGGGGGTAGAACAGCTTTAATATTGCAGATAGATTGTAACTTCCATCAATGTAATTGTCTGCATCACTACCAATCCCCCATATGTATTTTTTTTCTCTCACATATATACAGTGGGGAGAACAAGTATTTGATACACTGCCGATTTTGCAGGTTTTCCTACTTACAAAGCATGTAGAGGTCTGTAATTTTTATCATAGGTACACTTCAACTGTGAGAGACGGAATCTAAAACAAAAATCCAGAAAATCACATTGTATGATTTTTAAGTAATTAATTTGCATTTTATTGCATGACATAAGTATTTGATCACCTACCAACCAGTAAGAATTCGTGCTCTCACAGACCTGTTAGTTTTTCTTTAAGAAGCCCTCCTGTTCTCCACTCATTACCTGTATTAACTGCACCTGTTTGAACTCATTACCTGTATAAAAGACACCTGTCCACACACTCAATCAAACAGACTCCAACCTCTCCACAATGGCCAAGACCAGAGAGCTGTGTAAGGACATCAGGGATAAAATTGTAGACCTGCACAAGGCTGGGATGGGCTACAGGACAATAGGCAAGCAGCTTGGTGAGAAGGCAACAACTGTTGGCGCAATTATTAGAAAATGGAAGAAGTTCAAGATGACGGTCAATCACCCTCGGTCTGGGGCTCCATGCAAGATCTTACCTCGTGGGGCATCAATGATCATGAGGAAGGTGAGGGATCAGCCCAGAACTACACGGCAGGACCTGGTCAATGACCTGAAGAGAGCTGGGACCACAGTCTCAAAGAAAACCATTAGTAACACACTACGCCGTCATGGATTAAAATCCTGCAGCACACGCAAGGTCCCCCTGCTCAAGCCAGTGCATGTCCAGGCCCGTCTGAAGTTTGCCAATGACCATCTGGATGATCCAGAGGAGGAATGGGAGAAGGTCATGTGGTCTGATGAGACAAAAATAGACTCCACTCGCCGTGTTTGGAGGAAGAAGAAGGATGAGTACAACCCCAAGAACACCATCCCAACCGTGAAGCATGGAGGTGGAAACATCATTCTTTGGGGATGCTTTTCTGCAAAGGGGACAGGACGACTGCACTGTATTGAGGGGAGGATGGATGGGGTCATGTATCGCGAGATCTTGGCCAACAACCTCCTTCCCTCAGTAAGAGCATTAAAGATGGGTCGTGGCTGGGTCTTCCAGCATGACAACGACCCGAAACACACAGCCAGGGCAACTAAATGGCGTCGGGAGAGGTTGTGTTTTCTCTAGCAGGAGGTAAGCTTGGCTTCTTATATGGTGTTGAGTAAAGCTTAAACCATGTATTTAGATTGTAGGTAGGTATTGTAGTTAGGTATTATAGGTAGTTTACTTAGGTAGTTATTGTAGGTTATTGTAGGTTATTGTAGGTAATTATTGTAGGTAAGTATTGTATTCGGCGGACCCCGGCGAAGCACGAGGCTAGCTAGCTAACCCACTACTTGGACCAACAAAGCTAGCTAGCTAGCGGGTAGCTACTGGTAACTTTTAGCAACTGTGGTTAGTTGTTTCCAATGTTATTTCACGCTTAAGAGTACCTGTAATTGAGCCAGCTAGCTGCCTACCATTCAGCTGTTTTTCTAACCTCATTATCCGAGGCATTAACGTTAGGTGGTTGGTAGCTGCTGTACTTAATTACAGCTACTGATTGCAGTCTGCCACCCAGACAGCTGGCGTCGGGTAAGTTTGGCTTTATACATAGCTTGGGCTTTGTCGAGTAAGGCTTAAACTATGTATTTAGATTGTAGTTAGGTATTATAGGTAGGCATCGTGGGCTGTATATTACTAGGTATTATAGGTAGGCATCGTGAGCTGTTGTGGGTAGTTGTTGTATGTAGTTATTGTAGGTTACTTTTGTATTCGGCGGTGCCGGGTGTAGCACGAAGCTAGCTAGCTAACTCACCTCCTGAACTAGCTGGCGAGTAGCTATTAGCAACGGTAGCAACTAAATACAATATCCTTTTAGCCAGCTACATTCGTTCGCAGCGACGCCGTTTTTCAAACAAAGTCAACACAGCAGCCATTGCTAGCTAGCCAACACTACCAGCTAGCTGTACTGTAGTAGCTAAATACAATATCTTTGTGCTAGCTAGCCAACGTTTAATTATTGCTGCGTTATGAAAGAACTAGACACGGACACGAATTATCTGTTTAGTGTGTTAACACACTATTGGTAGTTTGTTGTAACCAAGTATTGGTGCTAAACTGTGTGTTATTGGATGCTAGCATGCTAGTTAGCTATGGCGTCATAGTTAGCTAGCTGAATAAAGTAAGTTGAGTCTATTCCTTGAAACATTAAACCGCTGTAGTTTACAACAATTCTAATTTCTAAAGTGGAAGTTGGGAGAGTTTTATTCGGGTGGCTCAGTGAAACAATTATAGTTTCTGAGGTGGAAGTTGGGAGAGTTATATTTTTTTTGGTGAGGGAGGCCCTGCTCTCTCCTTTCCCAGATGTTTAGTTCATTTCATTCCGATCTCCTCTGCATTATTGTAGCCATCTGCTACAGCCTGTCAACTATGCCTCTGCCTATCCCTGTTCTCTCCTCTCCGCACAGGCTACACAAACGCCTCACACCGCGTGGCTGCTGCCTCTCTAACCTGGTGGTCCCTGCACGCACCACACACCTGGAGTTCCAGGTCTCAGGCAGCCTCTGGAACTGCCGTTCTGCTGCCAACAAGGCTGACTTCATCCCAGCCTATGCTACCCTCCAGTCCCTCGACTTCCTGGCGCTGACGGAAACATGGATTACCACTGAAAACACTGCTACTCCTACTGCTCTCTCCTCGTCTGACCATGTGTTCTCGCATACCCCGAGAGCATCTGGTCAGAGGGGTGGTGGCACAGGAATCCTCATCTCTCCCAAGTGGTCATTCTCAATTTTTCCCCTAACCCATCTGTCTATCTCCTCATTTGAATTCCACGCTGTCACAGTCACTAGCCCATTTAAGCTTAATATCCTTGTCATCTATCGCCCTCCAGGTTCCCTTGGAGAGTTCATCAATGAGCTTGAGGCCTTGATAAGTTCCTTTCCTGAGGATGGCTCACCCTTCACAGTTTTGGGGGATTTCAACCTCCCTACGTCTACATTTGACTCATTTCTCTCTGCCTCCTTCTTTCCACTCCTCTCCTCTTTTGACCTCACCCTCTCACCGTCCCCCCCTACTCACAAGGCAGGCAATACGCTTGACTTCATCTTTACTAGATGTTGCTCTTCTACTAATCTTACTGCAACTCCCCTCCATGTCTCCGACCACTACTTTGTATCCTTTTCTCTCTCGCTCTCCTCCAACACTACTCACTCTGCCCCTACACAGATGGTAACGTGCCGCCGCAACCTTCGCTCTCTCTCTCCCACTACTCTCTCCTCTTCCATCCTATCATCTCTTCCCTCTGCTCAATCCTTCTCCCTCCAATCTCCTGATTCTGCCTCCTCAACCCTCCTCTCCTCCCTTTCTGCATCCTTTGACTCCCTGTGTCCCCTATCCTCCCGGCCGGCTCGGTCCTCCCCTCCAGCTCCGTGGCTTGATGACTCATTGCGAGCTCACAGAACAGAGCTCTGGGCAGCTGAGCGGAAATGGAAGAAAACTAAACTCCCTGCCGACCTGGCATCTTTTCACTCCCTCCTCTCTACATTTTCTTCATCTGTTTCTGCTGCTAAGGCCACTTTCTACCACTCTAAATTCCAAGCATCTGCCTCTAACCCTAGGAAGCTCTTTGCCACATTCTCCTCACTGCTGAATCCTCCCCCCCACCCCCCCCCCCCCCCACCCCCCCCCTCCTCCCTCTCTGTGGATGACTTCGTCAACCACTTTCAAAAGAAGGTTGACGACATCCGATCCTCGTTTGTTAAGTCAAATGACACTGCTGGTCCTGCTCACACTGCCCTACCCTATGCTTTGACTTCTTTCTCCCCTCTCTCTCCAGAT